ATTATGACATTTATTTAAGACTGCATACATTTCTTGTTCTTTTAAAGGAAGATTCTTAAGTCATATAAATTTCCAACTTCTATAAAATAGGTACTCCTTGTTCTCCTAAATTTTCAATTAAAAATAGGAGTAAATGTTTCAGCCACAAAAGACAAAGGCACTGTTATAGACCATCGCAATGAAAATATGCAGTTGTCTTATATCATCACAATATGTTATCAGATTACTTGCAAAGTGCTTTTAACGTAATAAAGGGCTATATTAATGCACATTATTAATGCACATTATGCTAGTTTTCTAAACAAAAAGGTAGCTGATAAGATTCTAACACTCTGTTTTACAGGCTAAGGTATTGTATCTATCGTATCAATAAAATGTCTCGAGCACATCACAGGATATACCATAAAGTAATGTGGCTGTGTGTATTATGGGGGCAGTACATAAAAGAAATTAGTGCGATGAGTATGTGTTTGGTTGCAAAATGTTTGATTGTACTTTAATCTTTAGCTCATTATGTTATAAATGAATGTATTGTGCATGACTGTTGTTACATACAAAGAGAGATACTGTGGGAGATTCTTGGAGCTGATGGCTGTGTTAATGTTCATAGCATGTGAATGAGGAGTAATCTTTTTGGCAGACTTTTGTGATGAGAGCACTGCAGCTAGATTGTCAAACATGTGGCAAAAAAAGGGTTAATTCTTTTGCCACAAAATAAATAAAATGTTGGTTTTCCAAAAGAGACTTGGATGCAGAGTTTATGCTGTTTTTTTAATGTTCAGTCCTTCTGAAAAGATAGAAATTGTCAGCGCTGGAATGGGGACAGTCATGGTAATTTCTATCTTTAATGAAAATTGAACGAGAAAACTCAGTCTTTATAGCAAAGGCAACATTTGATTTATTTGATGTGGTAAAAAAATAATCAACCCTTTTCTCCACTCTCACTACTATTTCGATTAGATGAATTCCCTCACTCTATCATACATACTCTGCTCTATTTATCTTGCCGATTGTCAGGATACATCAGCAAAATGATTTTTGCCACATCTTTTTTTTCTTCACTCCTGAAACAGTTTTGTTGTATAATAAACCATTTTAGGAATACAGTAATTAAGAAAAATCTGTCTCAAACTGTTCACTCTTTAATGCCACCTGTTTACGCTACATTTTGACATCGCCATTTTCTGTGGTGGTTGGAAACCGCAAAACCTGCAGCGTACCTAGCTTCAGTGAAATGGCTGATATAACATTACTTACAGCACAGCAGCAAACCAAAGGGAACCATAACCACGGCGGCAAACTACAGCTCCAGGGTAGAACCATTGGGGCTCCAAGGTGCTTGGGTATTCCTTGAAGTAGTGTCTCCTGTGTCAGTGAACTGAGAACGGTGGCTTTTATACTGAGTTATTGGTGGAGTACCTCAATAATACAATTTATATAATGCCTTTCATATCAGGAGATGGTCTCAAAACAGCGTCAAACACTGCTGGCTGGGCACCCGAGTTGGGAGTGGAAACCGAAGGGGTGGGGAGGGGAAAGATGACCGAAATGTCACCTGAAATTAATGAGTGTTGTACAGAAGACGAGCATTCCAGATGTTAATTTTGAGCTGCGTACAGACAGAAGGGAAGGCTCTGTTCGAGCAGGACATGATCTGCCTGAAATGTGTGGACTCTGGTAGATAATTGGATCTTTGAGCGAAAGATCAATCAAGGGAGTATCTGCAGTACATAAAACAAAATCCATTTCCTGTCAGGCTTCAGAGAGTTTTAGGTGCTGTTGGAGAATTGAAAAATTATTTCTCATTTTTTACCGAAGACCGATCAGGGATTGAGTCAATTGCAGATTACAAAGGTTTTGCTCTCATTTAAGGAATATGTGGGTTTGGAATACTGAGTAGTTAATTTGAATCCCCCCCCCCAAAAAAAATAATGTTAATTGAAAAATCAGAGACTTCATGTAACTTTTAAAGATATAAATATTCTTATTAAAGTATTTGCATTGATTAAGATGTATAACTATATCATAGAATTACGATCTGCTGCCTAACAGTGTTTTCCTCAATCACAAACTTCATTTGATCAAACTTCATTATCTGTCTGTTTTAGAATGAGTTCCTTCACAGGTTCCTGTAAAAATGCAACTAAAACTCTGAAAAAAAGGATCACTTCAGGTGGTACATTTTCATAGGGATGGCGTTAATTAATCTTCAGTAAAGTATAGCTGATCAAAAGTAGATATCCCTTTGCTATCATTGTAATATGCAGGAATACTTCAGTAGCACATGAATGCTTATGGCCATTGCTCTTGTCTAGAGGAGAAAGCTATGAATTGATTATGAAGCTTAATGTATGAAAAATGCAGCGCTGAAACATAATTACCCCCACGTCCTGAGGTGCTATAGTTCTGTGGAGATACAATCAGTGTTATTAACTGCAACAATAGTCGGATGCAAATTTTTCCTGACTAAATTAATTCTTCAAATGTTGAGCCATAAATATGCATTTGTTTCATTAGTAAGTATTTTCAGTTTGGTGTAAATTTATTCAATACAAATAGGTCTGTATTCATATGTGAGATAATGTTTTTATGAATTGAGTAGTTAGTCACATTAACCCAAACCATATGTCAATATTTTATAATGCAAATGTATGAGCAAAAAAAGTTGTTTAAAAGCAAGGGAAATTATCAAACGTGATGTTTTTGAGAGGAAATGCGAATTATATGGATTTTTGTACACTGAATTTTGTTGTAGGCTCCTTATTGGGAAGGTGGAGCTGTTTTTAATAACATGGCTATATCAGGAGAGTAAAGGAAGCTGTAGGTCATGTTAATTTGATAAAGAGATCTGTCAGGACTTCCTTAACTTAGCCTTAATTTAAATGGCGCATTAGTTGAGGAACATTCAATTTTTAGATGCTGGATTTTATATAAATGTGAAAAGTAAGTTTGATACTTGACTGATTTCAATAATAAAATATCTAATTATGGTATCTTGAAACTGGGAGGATTACTTTGGTCTCAATGCTCTGGCTTCAGAAAGATTTAGCAGATACTGTCGATAGTCTTTATTTAACAACAACAACTTGCATTTATATATACAGAATATATATACAGTATATATAATATATATGTGTGGGCGAGGAAGGACCGTTGGGAGTCAAAGCTGACACCCGGTTTGCGTACAGGTTCGGTAAGTCTTAGGAAAGGCTGGTTAGGTTGAGGAGGTCAGAGCCTCATGAGAGAAGACATTGATAGGAGCCAAGGAGTATGGCTTCCGTCTTGTTGACATTCAGCTGCGGGAAGTTTGAGCACAACTTTGTTGTCATTATAGTATGTGTTCAGCATTAAAATCTCAACTTTCGGATGTGTCCAAGGCTGAATGCAGTCGGAAAGGGGAAATAAAGTAGCAGAGTGTGTTTGTGTTAGAGGAGGTCACCTGTCTGTGAATGTCACCTTAAGTTTGAAAAGAGTTCACCTGGTTTGAAAAAAATATTTTCCCCTTTAATAAGGGGAATACAAACTACAGGTGATTTGGTTCCATAAACTCTGCCTTCTGCTTCATAACACAACATGAAAAAATATCATTCAACAGTCTACACATACAGAAAATAAATTCTTCCCTTCTCGATGATTTTATGTTGCTCATGAGCTGGGCCAATCGAAAAGCGCTACCGCAATTTTTCCGCGGAATCCGCTATAAACAGCGTCCTCCGGAATAAACCTGCTACAAGTGTAGTTTCTGAGCGGAGCCTCTGCTCTATTTAGCTGACGTTGCTGTGGGTGGAGCGGCTCCAGACACACATGCGCAATGCAGCACAAGCGGGAAATAGGCTTCACTCCTCTCGGAGGTCCCACTGTTGAGGTTGTCTGTGTGTGTCTCATTACGGTCTGGGTGTTGCTCACAGCCACCTCAGCTTCATGTATGCATGTGTCTCAGATAATTCTCACGAACAATTTGCTTGCAGAGACGTGTGCATGGCTATTTAGGCGCATTTGTTCTTGTTAGTTGTATTATGTTCTGGTTTGGATTTGCTTTAATGTCCTGAAGGTTAGAACTAGCTGTCTTAAAAGCAAATCTGTTCACAATCTAATAAATCATCCACAAAATGTGCAGCCAAATCACTTTACAATTTATTCTGTGAAGCTCTTTGAGATGTCTCAACGATGTGATAAGGCGCTACATCAAATGCAAGGATTATTATTAACATTAAAAGGTGCTCAGTGTAATTTATAAAGTGCTGAAAGTATTTTTCTTATGTACCAAGGAATATGGTTTAAGAAAAGCATCTATTTACACTAAGTACATGTATTAAGCGATAATTTAGGAATGACAACAAGGTAAGTAATGCAAAACCTCAATTACTAACTATAGTATTTAGTTGGTGGCAAACAATTTATGGATTCATATTTGTTTCTTTTCTGGATGGTGATTACAAAATTCAGTTATTATTTTCAGTTTACTCACCATTGTAATCTCCAGCATTTAATTTTTCACTTTCAAACTTGATTGTGACGTTTGAGCCCATTATAAATTGTGTGTGTATCTGTAGACTTAGTGTAACCTGAGCACCTTTTATGTTTGTTGTTTCTAGTTTGTATGCAGGCCTACTTTGTGAAACAAGATCTTGAGAGTTGTTAACTGCTGTACTGTAGCATAATGTATGTAGTTCTGAATTCAGGGTAATTTGGTAGTTACATTACACTTAACAAATTGACAGTTTGAGCTTGATACGAGAATGATGAATGTTCACTGCAAATAACCACAATGTAATAAATGCAAAGATTGGTAGAAATATAGGTTTTCAAGAAACATTCAGAAAATTTATAGTGTTTGGTATGATTGACCTTTTCAATCCAGACAGGTTTGAGTGTATGAGACATATTTATTAATGGGTGAATTAATGTAGAATATTTAATCGAATGCATGTAAACTGTTTTATGGAGTACATTTTAACAGTAGAGAATTCGAGTGATGGATATTCTTAATTTTCCCCTAGATGAGCCCACAAGTCCCAGTGTCGATCAAGAGTCTGCACACATCCCTGCTTCTGCAGTTATTTCAGCTGGTGTGTCTGAAATATTGACAATAACGACAGTGCCTCCCAGCCCCATTACGCCGTCTCCGCATATTCGACGGCAATTATCACATGACCAAGGTAGGTCTTTCAATGCAAATTTCATTTCATACCAGTGTTTGATGAAATTCTAGTTCTGCACCTTATGACTGCAGGTTGGGGTGTATGCTATGACTAGCTTATTAATTGTGATCATGTTTTTTCTCAGATACCATTAGAACCAGTACTCCTGATTCACAGCCCACTGGCAAAACTGAGAGATCAAAGTCATATGATGAAGGATTAGATAATTATAGAGAAGAAAGATCGTAAGTTGATGATTGATAAACTACAGATATTTTGTTCTTTTTAGTATAATTAATTAGAATGTTTACCTTCATTATACTAATAACTTTTATTTCTCAGCAGAAAATCAATAAAGCACGTTCCGAGTTTGAAAGGACTCAAAAAGGTTTGTATATTTTTTGTAAAGGTATTTCTGCTCTTCCCATCAGTTATTTCCTTCTTTTATCTTTCTCTTTCCCTTCCTCAAAAAAATCTCCCCAAGTAAAGCACAACTTTCCATTTGTGCCTCTCGGCCTCTAGAAGGTGCAGTCTCCAATTTACATTTACTCCCTTCCCTCCTAATGGAAGAGACACAAAGCCATGGATGGAATTGATAAGGTAACCTAACAGCAAAAAGGTTTGTATCATACACTTTCCAAAACAATAGTCTGTTTTGCTGGGAATGTTTTGCGGTTGCAGGAAAAGTGAACATTTATTTCAAATGAACATTAACTCATTATAGGTTTGTGTGTGTGTTTCAATATTGAATTGAAAAGAGTATTTGGGTACATTTTAACCTCATTTGGGTCAGTGAACTCATTTGTGTTGGGCAAAATTGTTTGTAAGAGTATTGTTAAACAAAGCCAGTCTTTGTGAGTCAAACTATTTTTTTAGCTTTCTGTATTAGATTCTTGCTACAATTTTCCACTGGACTATGCATTTCCTGGAATGCACTTTTATAAGCATGTATGCAAATTAATTAAATTGACCAAGTAACTGATGTGCTCACAATAACAAAAGGCCTTCAGAGAGTATAAAAACAGAGTTCAGTGTCACAGTACTGTCTATGTAGGCTGAATACAGTGGCACAGTGTAAGAGCAAGCTCAACACCAACACACAACAATCTCCACAGTATTTCTTCAGTCAAAGCATTACTGCAGTCAATTGGTATGTCCCTTGCATATTTTGGAATGGTTAATGCCTGATATGGGTTTCGAGAAGTTGAAGGTTCATGTATGTTTTAGTAGGAAGTTTTAAGACTCGTTTTAAAAATCTGTCTGAAACCTATCATGTGCCGTTGTTGTGGCATCCCTTAAACCTGAGTTGGAGCTGGAGTAATGATCCTGGTAAAGTCATTGTTGGACTCTTTGTAATTTTTAACAACTGATCCTTTTTTGTTGGTTATCATATGACTTGCAGTGGAATGTGTTGCACTGTAACTCTGGCATTTTGTTTAGGCCGCAGACAGCCTGAAGCTTTCAGACGACATCATCCCGAGAAGAGACTCCTCATCCGATGGCTTTAGTGACGCCTCAAAGGATGGATGGCTGCAGTTTCGCCAACTTGTTACGGAGAAAGGAAAGGTAATGAGTTTTAAATCATGTGTCAAATCTTTTCTATAAATACTTGTTTTAATCTGCTGAAGCGCTGTGATGCCAGTAACTTTAATATTTAGATTGATACAATCAACTTGGGAATCAGAATTGTTGATCACTAACAGCAGACTTGTTATGATGTGTTTGGAATTGGAAATCATATTTTAGCAACTGTTCAGAGGATAACTAAATGCCTGTTCACTTCCCCATGTATTGTTTCAAGCCTTGTGCTAATATAGCCATAAAATCTACTTCTATCTTGGGCTGTCCTGATAGTATTCCTGCACAATTCCAGGTACCGAATTAGTATTGACCTTGCCAGACTATTTAATCATGTTTAGTAGTCGACACACCCGAGCAAGGGGAGGTGACCGTAGTCATGGTCAAAAAGGTAGGTTTTATTGCAGAATTTGAAAACAGATAGAGAGGAGTTGAGGGAGGTAGTTCCAGATGTTAGCGACGTAGAATCTGAAGGCTCAGCTGGTGTGAGTAGGGCGGGGGACATGCAGCAAGTCTAAGTTAGTTGAGTGGGGGAGTATGAGAAGAGGAATGGGGTAGGAAGAGATTGCAGAGGCTCAAGTATAATTTGTAGGTTAGGCTGCCAAACTTGAAATAAATCTATGTAAAGACAGAGAGCCAGTGGACCTGACGAGGAAAGGGATGAGGGTAAGGATGCAGGCAGCGGCGATTTGGATAAGTTGAAGTTTATGGATGGTGGAGCTAGGGAGACCAGCCACAAGTGCATTAGAAAAGTCCAGTTAGGATGTGACAAAGGCGGGGATAAGGGTTTGGGTAGAATTTAGAGTGAGGTAGAGATGGATGCAGGAAACGTGGCAGAAAAACCTTTTTGCTCAGAGTTGGTACTAACCTTGCCAGACTCCATCAAGATTAGTGACTGACAGATTATTTTCCTGCAGGCTCATTACGTTTTAGAGTCCTCTTTTGTGATGCTGTTCCAATTCCAGTGCTGACATTGTTAGAGTTACATAGTTAGGGGTTTACATATATTTTTGAAAACATTGTGGGGTTGCACACAGAAAAATGAATTATTCACATAAAAAGGAATTGTTCATGTGCCATTAAAGCTTATAGAGCAGTTAATTACTTGGAAGCATTGGTGTGAAAAACATTCCATGTTCTGTTTAAGAATAGGGTTAAAATGTGTTTTTAGTTGTTCCTAAAAATATCCATGGGATTTGCTATCTTTGAGTGTGGAAAAAGTTCTGATCAGCTTTTTGACAGGAAAGTCTATTTAGACGCTCAAAACTATTTCCCTGCTAAGGGCAAATCCATGGGTTTTCAGTTGGGTTTGGGAGACACTATTCTTCAGAAATAGGGAGGTTTTTTTCAAAACGTGTATTAATACAGTTCTTTAAGGAATTGAATATGTTTAGGAATGTCATTTTTTGATCAATACATTTGGATAATGCAATCCATTTTTGAAACTCTTGGCAGCAAAGCAGTTTCATATACTGAATACTGAGGGATGGGGCACTGTCTCTTTCACTTCTGATATTTGAGTTTAAATTCATCCCAAACTAAAAGAGGGTGAAAGTCTTGTTTACCTGTTATCTGAAAGTTGTATGCACAAAGGGCAAGTTGACAGTTCTTAGGCCCTTGATACGACCTGATATCACAAGATTAATCCTAAATTATCACTTGAATAAGATAAGGAAAGCTGGTGAATGAAATATCATCATCCAATGTTTTTCTGAACTTGGTGGTAAGGGCTGAGGTGCTCTCTGCACCATTTCAAAGCTATTTCAGCTCTTTTCACCTTCAGGACTTTTCAGACATGGTGTTGGGAGAGTGGTCACTGAAAATATCACCATTCTGCCTGTTAAATTTCTGGAGCTGGACTAGGGTCAAAGGAAAGAACTTCAAAGAGCTTTTTGCATTGTTGTATGTTTGGTGCAATCATGGATTCAGAGTAATAAAATGGATCAGTTCTGTTTTTACTGCCTTCTCGCCTTTAATGAACATTGTTCGAGATGATATGTTTTTAAATGCAGTAATATTAAGGAACTTGCACGAACCAGTTTTATTTAACTTTCGCAAACACATTGCCAATTAACCATTCCTAAGGCAAAATACTGAGCATCTGAGAGCCAAGATTGTCAGAACCACCTAACTTAAATTTACCACAATCATTGACGCCTTAGCATACAGGAACCAACTTGCTCTGGAATCCGTACAGACGATGCATAATAAAATAGAGGCAGAAAAAAACAATAAATAATGCTGATTTAAATTCTCATTTGTTGGACAGTTATCTGAGAGCAACTAACAGCCTAAATTGTTGAGCAATTCTTCAAGAGCTTCTTGGGCTATGAGGCTTAGCCTTCCATTGCTCCTGGAAACTATGACCACTTGAGTGAGGTTCAAAAAGATGACCTGTAGTCTTGAAACTATGCCCAGAATGGAGAAAAAAGAAGGAACGAGGAGAGAAAAATTGTCATTATTATTATTATGAATAAATCTGAGCAGGTGTGGCACTTTGGTGCTCTAACTTGTTACAGGATAATAGGATTGACTTAAACCAGCAGTGATCTCAAAAACTCACTTATAACTTATTTATAACAGTGAAATAGTATGATACAGGAGACCTAAAGAGAAGTGCATGAAATAAAATGTAATAACTTAGTTTTGGTAGTTTGCATTTGTAGGTTTGTGACTGTATAAATTTTCTATCACAGATGGATTGCAATGAAATCTAGCTCTATGCCTGGAAAAGGAATTTAACATAGTTATTTTTAATGCTGATTTTTAAACTGTACAATCTAAAGGAGGAAACTATTTATTAAATATTCTAATTATGAATTTAATTCATTTTCTGAATCCCCACTTATTGATTTATAACAGGAAAAGACAATCAACAATGGGTTTGTAATATTCTGTGAATCAGTAATTTTTATATTGGAAAGAAGAGAAGAATTGGAAGAAACCTGTGGAAATATAGAGGAATTATTTTCACATACACTCAGAGTGAATGATTTGCTGCGTTGTTTGAATCACTATTTATTTACGTTTGAGCGAATAAAAGAATTGAACACATGTTATGGAAATGTACAAAAACTGCAATATACTACTGTATTTGTTATAAATTTTCAAATATTAACCTGCATTTTATTTTCAATTCCTGCAGCGTGTGGGTGGCAGCATTCGGCCGTGGAAACAAATGTACTCGGTTCTCCGGGGGCACACTCTGTACCTGCACAAAGACAAAAAGGACAAGACTTCTCATGCATCTTGCCAGTTTGAAGAAGAACAACCAATTAGCATTAAAGCCTGCCTAATAGACATTTCCTACAGTGAAACCAAGCGGAAGCATGTATTTCGATTAACCACTTCGGAATGCGAGTATTTGTTTCAGGCTGAAGATAGGGAGGATATGTTGGGTTGGATTAAGGCCATACAAGAGAACAGCAATCTTGACGACCAAGTAAGTTATAAGAACAAAGAAAATGGATAGGGAATTTTCAGTCTGATAAGCTTAATGGGCATTTATTGGATCTGTCTCACTAATAGTGCTTGAATAATGCTTTCACATACTTTACATATTTTATATAAATGTGTGTATGGTAAACTCCTGATAACTAGGTACAGGCTTAACTTGTCACTGCCACTTACGATGCCATATTGTCAAAATGTTAATAATGGACTCCACTTTACTTGTCACTCCACTTAACACGTAACAAGTCACATTCTAGAAATTCTTGTAAGTACTTACAGTGTCAAATTAATTGGATAACTCGTCTTCTAAGATGACGTCTTACATCGCAGATGCTTCATAGCTCTATCCTGTGACTTGTGTGGGCACTCGGTGGAGGTTGGGTGTGCATGCTCCGATGCATCGCAGGTCTATTGGAGGGCTGTGCCGTGGCCTCCTGTCCCACCTCCCTCCCGCCCTATCCTGTAACAGGATGGGGTGGGAGGTCTCTGCGATGCATCTGAGCATGTATACCCAACCTCCACCAGTTGCAGCACCTGCTTGTGGCCCAAGAGGACAGTGCCTTGTCATTGAGCTCTTTTCTCTGGGACTGACAACTTTTTAGGAGTTTTATATAAATTACATTGCTCTGGAAGAATTGGTTGGCTTGTTCGCCCTCAAAAACAGAGTCACTGCACTTTACAGTATATCCTGTGAAGCGTCTGGGACATCATTCTGATGGGAAAAGAACTGTATGAATTATAAGAATTATTATTAATAATGCGAGGGTGGACTGAGATTTAAACCTTGAAACAGTAAAATACTTCGAAATTGTAGGCTAAGTTTTGCATGCAAAAAAAAACAATTAGTTCCTTGCGTGTTTTAGTCAAATTTAGAGATTACATCTACAGTTGCACTGCAATTAAGTCTGTGTATAAGTCTCTTCCTTGCCAAAAGCTTACCACAAGGTGCTGGTATGCCTGCAACTGATCATTTGACAATTACTTCAGTCAGAGAAGACCACAGGAATACTTACTGATCAAGCGTTGTACATGTACGCTCTGGTTTTTGACAAAACCGAAATTTAAATGCAGCAACTTGGATCGTTCCTTGCGGTACTGATAAGTTCTGTCTGCATTTGAAAACAGCTCATTGAAAGCTTCAGAGTTGTGTTACACTTTTATTTTGTAAATATGTTGCATGTAAATGTTACTGTTTGATAACGTGATGCTATTGCTTGTTGCACACTTCTATGCTTTTGCAAAAAAAAAATTAATTCCCATCTCTGCTCTTTCAATTTGCAGGACACAGGGGTTACCAGCCGAGATTTAATTAGCAGGAAGATTAAAGAATATAGCACTATGATGAGGTAAGTGATGTACTGCTGTTTCAGGCAAGTCTCTAAGGTCTGTTTTCACCGCACAAAACCATCCTGACTGCCTCCGAACTATATATAATACTGTTGCAAGAGAAAACAAGTTGGAATTTCACTGAAATGTTGACGTGCGCGTTAGCTGGAAGGTTTCAGTTGGGAACAAATCCAGTTTCTTCAAATGTTTATTTACTTAGTGAGATATGGGCTGAGCCAAAGGTCTGTCTTCATCCAAATCTCTCTTTTGATCTTATATCTTTTCTATTTCAGTTCTTCTGGGAGCAAGACCGAAGCCTCTCCGAAAACCCCCCGTCAGTCACTCAGTATTAGGCAAACCTTCTTGGGGACCAAAAATGATCCAAAGAGCCCCCATTCTCCAAAGCAAGAATTTGAAAGAAAACTAATAAGTAAAGTTACTTTATTAACACATTTGTTTAATACTGGCTTTTCATGGGATTGTATGTTCTATGACAATATTTCAGGTCAAATGCTCATCTGTTTACTTGTTACAATCAACTTCATATGATGCCATATGAGAGAGAGAACCATAGGAGGCCATTCGACCCATCATGCCTGTGCTGGCTTTCTTAAGAGACTTTCTTAATAGTCACATTCCTTTTAGATTTCTCTTTTTCAGATATTTATCTCATTTTTCTCAAGTTAATATGGATTCTGCCTCAACCACAGTTCTAGGTGGAGCGTTTGATGTTCTAACAACCCTCTGTATAAAATAAATTCTGCTAACCTCTTTCTTTGCTTGTTTGGAAATTACTTTGAACCTGTACTTCTGGTGACTCATTCACCAACGAGTGGAAAGAATTTCCCCCTGTTGGGACAATAATAATAAATAATCTTCCCCCTCAGAACAATTAAACATTGTTCTAGGGGGAAAAAAGCTCCAGTCCCTTCAGTCTTCCTTTGAATATAAAACCTCTCGCTCCTGGTATCATTATAGTGAATCATTGTATGCATTGTTTTTATCCACTTGTGAATAATATCGTTTTGCCCACAAATATACAGTCAATTCACTTTACAGTATATTCTGTGAAGTGCTTTGAGATGTCTAGAAGACGCGAAAGGCGCTATATCAAATGCAAGGATTATTATTATAATAATATTTAATACTACCGTATCACTTGATATCTTTCCTATATTGGAGTCCCCAAAATTGAACATATTATATCAATGGCAGGCTAACAGCGATTAATATTAATAACTGTTTATCATATGATCATAACAGTGAGAGATTTTACCTTTTATCAGATGACACAAGTCCGCCAAAGGACAAGGGGACATGGCGAAGAGGCATTCCTAGCATCATGAGGAAGACGTTTGAAAAGAAACCATGTCCTGGTATAACATTTGGTGTCAGGCTAGATGACTGTCCACCTGCACATAACAACAAGGTAAGGTGATATTTCCTCTCGTGGAATTTCAAATTTAAAAACTTACATCTTACATTCTTATCTAATCATTGAAGTAAAAGCACTTTTTAAAAACAGAAAAAAAATCTGTTTGTGAGTCATCCTAAGTATAGTGGAAAATATTTTATTCGTACAGTGGAACCCAGTTTTGCCGGATGCCGGGTAAATCGGACAAAACGACGGGCGATTTATTTTATACAGAAGGTTGTTAGAACATGAAATGCCCCGCCCAGAACTGTGGTTGAGGCAGAATTCACCTTCATTCATTTGTATTCTTACCTGTTTTAAATATACCTGTTAATTCGGACAAAACCCCAGCTACTCTGGACAAAATGCCTCGCTGGTCGTCGCTGCGTCTTCTCACTTGCCACCGGCGGCTACGGGATGGAGATGGGGAAGAGTTGAATTGCGATTGATTGACAGCGTACTCCGCCCATTCACAAGTGACTCTAGGCTGTCAATCAGTGAGGAGGCGGAGCAATGGGGAAGAAACAAGTGAGGGAATGGGAGGAGTTAAATCGCGATTGATTGATGAGCCTGGAGACGCTTGTGAGTGGGTGGAGCCCATCCATTCAGAAGCGGCTTCAGGCTGTCAATCACCTCGGAGCTGCCGCTAATTGGTCCCCTTCCCGTCCAGTTGTGAATGGAACTGGGCGAGAGGAGGTGCCGTCACTCCTATATGGGCAGGAAGAGGTAAGAGAACTGCGGTTAGCCTCGGACGCCACTTAAAAGGGACAAAATGGCCGGCCCTAATGTGTCTAGTTTAACCGTTTTCCACTGTACCACCTGTCTGAATTGACCAGATATCAACAACAACAAGATTATATTTGTATATCGCCTTTCACGTCGGGAGGACGTCCCAAGGCGCTCACAAAAGACAAAATCACCCACAAAAGGCACAGTCAGTATATTGTACAACGAATCCTGTGAAGCGCTTTGAGATATTCTCCCAATGTGAAAGCTGCTGTATCAAGTTCAAGAATTGTTATTACATTATCATTATCTGAACCTCACACATGCCTTTTACATCCGATTGTGTTTTGTTCCTGTATCTTAGCCGAATTAGTATTATTTTTACACTAAACCCCAGGCTGACCGGACTAATAGCAGGGAGATCCAGTCCGGCAAGCTGCATTTTCCGGCTAACTGCTAATACTCTTAACATTTACAATAAATAAAATAAGTCAAAATAAATGCTAGTAACATTTACAATGAATAAAAATGAATTTTAAATAATAACCCCAAAAACCTAACAATAGTTTTGTACTTGCCACTGACTGAATGCAGCTCCATTGAGGCTTGCGGGTAACCCAGGGTCAGGCTGTGGGAACTTTGAGAACGTGGAGGGGGGGATTTTTATCTTGTGGAATAGCATAATTTTTTTCCAGACCCATCCTGTTAATTTAGGATTCCAGATACGTGGCGTCTGGATAGCCTGGGGTGTTCTGTACTTACTGACCCTAACAGATGTTTCATGAATATCTTGGACAAACAATGGCCCACTGTAATGCAGATTGTTGTACACTTTTTTGCCTTGATTTATTTCCTTATGTTGTGCAATATTTCAATCGTTGCCCCTTGACCAAAAAATAAAAGTTCCTAAATATGAAGGTTGAATATGTGAACTTATTCCAAGACTTTGTCAACACTGCTACAAAATTCACTGCTGTGAGGTATACTGTAAGAATGTCACTTTGAAGGGGATGAAGAGAAGGGAATTTGAGGTGATGAGGTTTGGTTCTTGTTCTGAGAAACGTATATTCTGTGAAGCGCTTTGAGACGTCTTGAAGACATGATAAGGGGCTATATCAAATGTAAGTGTTTCCTCTTGAGCATCCAGAAAAATTAGTTGGACCATTCAAAGAACATATAATCGGATGTGTTTGTTGCCAAACCATGTGATGCTCATCTGTTAATAATAGTCTTAAGATGAGCAACTCAACCTTTGCAGAATTGTGGAGGAGAACCTTTGTCCCATTTCTTTTGTGATGCATGTTATGTAGCTTTAAAATAGTTCCAGAATACATTTTCATCTAACCACTATTCACTCATAGTTTAAAGGATTAATAAGAGGGGCATTTCATATTCTATCTTCTAGTTTGTGCCATTGATCGTTGAGGTTTGTTGCAATTTGGTTGAGGAAAGAGGTCTTGACTACACCGGAATTTACAGAGTCCCAGGAAACAACGCTGCCATCTCAAACTTACAAGAGGAACTCAACAAGGCAACCACTGATATTGACATCTTAGATGATGTAAGTTACGAAAGACTTGTTCGATCTTAGCCTTTTCATTTTGTTTTTAAAAAATAGAAATATTAATGGAATTAACTTGTTTGTTTCAAACCACAGAAATGGCGGGATCTGAATGTTATCAGCAGTTTACTAAAATCTTTCTTCAGAAAGCTTCCTGAACCTCTCTTCACAAATGGTAAGTATGTCTCCCGTTCATCATTTTAATCCAATTTAAGGATTAAAACTTCATTCTTTTGGGTCTGGTGCAGTCAAGAATTTAGCACTTTCCTATCATTAGGAGTCAACCATATTTCTTAGGGGGAGAAGCATGTGGGCATAACCATTATACCAGCTGATGTACTTGGGCAGTTTGTATTTAGTTTCACTTTGAGGCTTACAATTTCATAGCACAGTGTGATGGGCATCAACCCACTGGACTGCTCCTCCCATTTTTTTTGCACTGTTTTTTTATTTTTCTTACACTTATCTCATCTTTCCACATTTTATATTACAAAATTGGCAGTCCATAGCTAGACAGGGCTAGTACAGGAAATGGTACAGGAAAAGTATTCCCTACTGGTACAGTGGGAGGTTTGGGGAAGAATAAAGGGAGCTTTCATGTCATTTTGTTTATTTCATGTTGTTTCAGTAATATTTCTCTGGTCAGATACAGATTAGCCATGCTTGTTCAGACAGGCTACTTAGTGATGTGGCATTCTTTTTGTTATCATCAGACTTTCATTTTGTTGATGTCAGAGGATGAATGCTTTTGAGGTATTAAAGACCATTTTGGAGCTGATTCAATAGCCCTGTAGGTAAAGTCACTGCCTAATCACTGCTCCATGTCCCCTGCTCAGCCCGCTCCACCATCGGCAGTCGGGCCTTCAGTCTTTCTACCCCTACCCTCTGAAACTCCATCTGGAAGCCCTCCTCCTCACCCCCTCCCATGCCTCCTTCACGGCCTGTCGCAAGACCTTCCTCTTCGACTGTGCCTTTGGTCATCTTCCCACCTTCACCCCTTGTTCTCCACCCCTCTTGACTCCAAGCTCCAGCTTGGATTTTTTACTACTTATCCAGTTTGCCTGCAACTCTGGTTTTGTGTAAGTCATGTTAAATGTTATGACTGTTATGACTGATACGGCTTATGTCAATTTTACTGTACTATATTTTAAAGGTATGCCTATTCTTTAGGTATAGCAGAATTTATAATAATTTGTATAAAATTTTCCTTGGAAAGCATCTTAAGCAGTTTCTCCCTGAGTTTAGCTGCTCCAAGTTGACACCCGCGGGTGGGGTGGGGCAGTTCTGCAGTAAAAAAAAGTTTTGGCTGATCAATGGCACAAAGATGTTTAGATATATTCCCAAGCTTGCCCTAACAAATAGGTGACTCTTAGCTGGACAGGTCCCATCTAACAAACTGCCGTGACTTATTTAATTGACATCATTATATTTTTAATTGACTTTCTAAGCAGGCGCGTTTGTGTTTTACAGACAAATATGCTGATTTCATAGACGCCAACAGAAAGGAAGATTCGGTGGATAGACTTAGGACCTTGAAGAAATTGGTAGAGTTAATTCACTGATTTCTGGTTTGAACTTGCATTTGATTAACCTCAATTTTTTTATGCTAAAACTACTTTGATGCTATAACTCTTTCAGATCAGAGACTTGCCAGATCATCACTATGAAACATTGAAGTTTCTTTCAGCACATCTGAAGACAGTAGCGGAAAACTCAGAGAAAAACAAGGTATTTCTCTTCAATTGCATTAATATTTGTAATGTTTGTGCAACCGTATGTTTTATTACAATGGCATCTATTTCCGTCCTAGATTTCATGTTTGTACTTTAGAGAGTGCTATTGAATTTTCAGAGGTAAAACAAAGAAATATTGAAATTTCTTTATTATTGAAATTTTTAAATTCATGGTGCAAAATTTCACAGCATGCACAGATTCTTAATGTGTGTGCATTGTAACCAGGCGGAGCACACAGCTTTGATGTCATGGAATTTTGTGTGAAGGTGTCATAACAATATTCTGTTATCGTTCTTTGATGAAATCTGTACTGAAAAAGTTGTGTAGAAAACAGAAGAATGAAAATCTACACTCTAAGGTCTGCTTGTATCCTATCTCATAATATGTGTCTCTGGTAATGGTTGACAGTTTTGCCTATCTTTAATCACGATATGTAATTCTGGTGATCAGCAGTGCAGTAAAGTGTAGTACGTCAACTTGCCTGGTATTTTAATATTAAAAACCTTTATACCCTCAGATGGAACCCAGAAATCTGGCAATAGTATTTGGTCCAACACTGGTCAGAACATCAGAAGACAACATGACACACATGGTGACTCACATGCCAGATCAGTACAAAATAGTGGAAACCCTCATACAGCATGTATGTTTTCTTTAATCCACGTTCTTCTGAATGTTAGAAGTATCCATTAACTACAGTCTGTTTGATTTGACAATTAAGGTATAACTGGGATTGATTTGCTTACATTTTTCAGTATGACTGGTTTTTCACTGAAGAAGGTGATGAAGATGCAACAGTAAGTAACAATAAGAATTGCAACACTAATTGGAGTGTGAAAATGCCCAAACCGTACCTGCTCTCAACCCCACTTAGTATTCTTTCATAACATTTTTTTTACCTGGCGATTTCAATTTGTGTTAGCGCTAGTCATTAGCTTACTTACAATGGAAATATAAGCATTTACTGTGGTGTCCAGCTGGCTTCCTACAATATTGTGGCATCAGAAAATTTAAAGGAGTGTTTGTATTACTCATTTGTTATGCATCAGTTTTGAAATTTTGGATACAAGCCACTTATTCCAGCAAGATATTAATGCTCTAGGTATTCAGACACTTGCAACAATATTACCACTTAAACACTGAGTAGATGTGTTTGTATTCAAAAATGAGGTGCTGTGGAAAATTAAGTTATCTTTCAATGTATCTAACATTTTCTGAAAATGCAGAATGTACTGGTTTCACTTTTTTCTTTATGGGAGTAAATGATGAATTGTATGATTTGAAGCTGCTAAAAACAGTTACACTATATAGCTCTAATGTTTCAGCTAAGACCCACATGACCTTCCTTTACTGTATCCTAAACGATCAGGCTTCAAGTATTTATTCCATGCTGTCAGGTTTGATTTTGATGCTTTAAAACTATATTGTTTCAGAGTTTTTAAGTGAATTCACAAAAAAAGCTTTCACTGCCTAAACTATTAGGTTAACTGTTCCTGGGTCTCCTCTGCCACCGTATGGTAACTTATGGCCTGTGAATTTGGTCAGAATTTTAAGAAGGGTTTTGTGAATTTGCAGCACCACCTAGTGGCTGAATCATTTTGCAAGAGAGAACCTGTTCAATATTGTTTTCCTATTTTCTACCTTTAAAGCGCCGTGATCAATGCCTCTGATTGATGGTATGCTCCAAGTTACTTAATATTATGTATGTTTCTAATATTTGCACTGTTGGTGCCATTTTATTTGACCAGGAATGGTATCATTTGTCATGTCTAATCCTAAAATTTGATGTATTGGGCAAAAGAACCAAATATGAGCCATGACAGTGAAGGTTTCTATAAGACATGGTAATGAGAGGTCATGTGGAATCTGGCTAGAAAATATAATTTCTTCTCACATCCCCACCCACACAGAGTTTTCCTCGTGGTATGTGGAGTATTCTTTGAAAGAATAACAGCTGAACGTAATTATGGATATTTGTTTTTGACTATTTCATTGATGAGAATCCAGTAATATGCTGAAAATGTACCAGTAGAAAATGTAGAGGTGTAGTGGTCATGTAGACTCTTAGATTGCTAGTGGGGTGTTTTGCACCCGTAACAAATGCAATGTTCTGATCTTCTTACTCTTGTGAATGTAGACACCAATCCAGGAAGAGAGCACAGTTGATACACAGCCAGTGCCAAACATAGATCATTTGCTAACCAACATTGGGAGAACAGGAACTACTCCGGGAGATGTTTCAGGTAACTGCCTGAACAAGACACTGCAGATTGCGGTAACGGACAGTGTCATTGTTACTGACCAGCCTCTTACAGAAGTAGACAGTTCAAGACTGAAATGCTTTTATTTGCCTATTCAAACCTGCAAAGACGGAGTAAATCATATGAAAGGACTATAAACTCAGTGCTTTAAGGTGTTCAAAGATAATTGTTAGCTATCATAATTATAATTTGTGTTTTAAAAGACCCAATGTTTTAATATCTTGCTGAAAGATACTGTTTTTCTTAACAAAACATTGTGCTCAGTTTTTAAAATCATAATCAATTATTGTAGTCATGTATTCAGGAACCTAGATCATTACTAGGATACTGACGTTTAAAATATTTGTATATACTGAGAAAGATGTTACTTTTTAGTGTTGTTTTCAGTAAGAATCTCCGATTTTGTCCATTTTATGTTACTTTTAAGAAATGTTGAGACGTGCCCTGATTTGATGATTTGGATGCTTATGCTTGTTACACTTTGTCTGATATGTGGATTGTGCTGTGTATGTACTGGTCGGGTAATATAACTGTTGATATACTCTGGCTGGGTTTTTAAAAAATATTCTAAGTTTTCAGTTATTTAATTTTTTTTCCAGTCCTCTTTCAATTAAACAGTGAAATCATATTGGTTTTGAACCAGCCAAGACTTCACAGTATTTGAATCCAATAGAAATGGAATAGAAAAGGAATTGAATGCATGGGGCACTTCAAAAATGTTTTGCATTATATGTATTTTCTAAGACGTGCTATACACTTTGAGCAGGACGAGAAGAGGCCTCTTAGATGTTAACATCAGTATCTAACCTGCACTTGAATCTGAAACAGCTTATAGTTTTGTTTTTAATCAATTGTTAATTCCCATTTCCACATCTATCGTGTGCACGTTCTTGTGCTTGTATTCTATAATTTCAAGTGTTGGAACTGCACAATAATTTGTACTTTCTGCCTTTACTATGGTAAGTTCTTACATGTTTATACTGTGCTTTCCCACCCCACCCCCCCACCACCTGCCCTTTTCTTTGTCTCTTGCCTTTACTCGGAATATCATCATACCAGGCTGGGTTTGGAGGTTGTCTGTCTACTTGAAGCTTGTTGTCCTACCTACCGTCAAACTAACCCAGCATGTTCTTTTCCCAAACTTGTCTACTTGTCGCGTCGCTCCTGTCTTGAATGTTCAAGGGTTTTTTCCAGCATTTACACAATACTGATCTTGAAACAGGCGAAGTTGGAGGAGTCTATCACACTGTAATGTCACTGATGGACTCTGTGATGTCACTGATGGACACCTGGAACTGTAGGAAGAAGGACGATTGTTGCCCTCATTGTAGCTGCCTTGTCTGCAGAAACCCCCGTTTCTTGTAAATGGAAAATTGTCGTCTGTGATGTAAATTTGCTGTTATGATTATTTTAAAAAGACCAATACTACTTTCTTAAAGTATTTCTGCTGTTTCTTATCATTTCTGAAGCAGACCTTGAGGAGAAATAGCATGGTATGGTCATCTAGTTTTTATAGTCGTGTAGCATAAACCATGTTTCAAAAGGGGTGTGGCTGGGGGCTTGGCTCTCAGTCTATCTCACAGCCTTGCAAAGTGCAATGCAGGAGTAGTTTTATATTAATAGTTTTAAAAATATTCATCAATTTCTTTAAAAAAAATACATATTCAATTGGATTACCTGGCTAGCCCCTTTCTGCCCCCTCTCATAATTTTTTTTTTAGCCTCTGCTGTTGCCCCATAGTAAATCTGTTTTTGCAGCTTTCATTCTACATTTCATCACGGCTCCCTTCTCTTTATCAAATTTGAGTGTTGTTGACGTTCCTCAAACATGATTGCAACTAACATAATTGAATGTGCCTCGAATGGAATATATATTATATGACTTTTTTTGTCTTTTGAGTTCCATGCCATTATTTTAGTTCTGCAGTCTTTTAAAAGCAACTCTCGTAAGTTACTTCAGAAAAGTGGCTAGTAAATATTGTAGTCCCTTACAGTGAAATATACTTTTTGTGAAGCTCTCATAGGCAGTTGCCAATGTATTCAGGGTTAGGAGTGTCCACCTACTGTTAAAGGAAGCGATGCAAACTAATTTGAATTAATGTAAGGCACTGAGTTTGGCAGATGAATACGGAGGTAAATTGTTTAATTAGATATTGTTAATTGTGTTTAGTTTTTTAAGAGAATAAGGTCCCTTTGCCATCCCTCTCATTGAGCTGGTTATAACCACAATTCACAGCATATTTTCATGGTGGTGGCTGTCTGTGCTGCTTTTCATCTCAGTGAGCTCTGACTTTCCACGCTGTGCCCTTTTCTATTGCCTATTGCAGTCATATAGTTTCCTGTGATTTTTACATTTTTAGTCTTGGCTACAATGAATATTTATGCCCCAGATTAAATGTAACAATCAATTTAATGACATCTTTCTTGTCTTTCTTATAGATTCGACCACTAGTGATTCAGCAAAATCTAAGGTGAGAATTTAAGAGCTTCTAATAAAATGTTGTACACAATTCATGAAAATATAAGTATATATACAGAACAAGTGAACTGTAAAGGTGTTAAAAACAATAGGCCCTACTAAGTAATGCATTAGCATTATTTTACATCTTAATCACGTTTTGTGAAATGTACGAAAGATACTTTGTGCCTATTCATTTTACATTTTGTCGGTTTTAAAGGGAAACGATTTTCAAAGCAAGTTTTATATTAAAATAAAACTGAAACCAATCATTTTAGGGCCCTAAGGAAGCTGCTGTAACAGAATAACAGATGTGATTTAATGTTGAAAACTAGGGCTTAGCTCTGAACCTAAAGTCTAAATCACGATTTGGCCTAATTCCAGTCATTGCACTGTGGTTCCTGCAGCTCTCCTGTTAAGGCGGACATGGTATTAAAATGGTCTTCTGAACAGTGATGTATATATAACTTTTCAAATATTTGCTCCATGATGTTCACAGTGATTAGATAGATGCATGGCTTGTTCAATTGATGTTTTAGTTGTATATTTCGAATTCCCAATGCATGAGTTTTCCTTGATGGGATCCAGTAGACAGGATGTGTCATCATGGTGGGTAAGGTTACTCTTGTCTATTCCCAGAATGGGGAGAAGGGAGTTTAACATTTCTGTTACTTCTGCACTTGATAACTGGGGAGAGAAGAGGTGTGGGGTTTTATTCAGTTTCTGGTGTGAGAAGAAACACAAGAACTTTGTGCTTGATGCAACCAAATGATCGTTTCCCCACCATGTTGTGAATAAGGCTTTATTCTGGATCCTGTCCTTGGTTCTTTCTCCAGCAGTTATATCTCTCTTCTACATAGAAGAGATTGTATATTGTCATTTAGTAGTGTTTTGTTTGGCCTCATAACTAAGTTTCTTTTTACTTTCTTGTTCAAGTAGAGGGCTTTTCTTCAAGTGTATCTTTGTTTTAACTGAAAACGTCTTGTACCATCTTTTGCGCTGACATTTTTGAGTTTACACTGAGCCCACTGAAGCTTACACTGATCTGGCTGACTCAGTAGATGCTTCCTCAGCCACGGTGAGTACCAGTTCCCAGTTATAGCATTGCTTCAGATCCTTCCCAATGACCAACACGCATGACATTATCTTCCCTATTTTCAATCATTGCATGATGACCTTTTGAAATGTGAAGCCCATTCTACTCAAAGACTAGACACAACTGACTCATCTGCTGAAAAGTGACTCTGGATGCAGGAATATCAGAAGGTGCTTTCTCTCTGTGTAGAGACAATACATGGAGATTAGTTCTACAGAGAAGTCTATGTTTCCACTTCCAGGTTACATTGGACAATCTTCTGAATGAAGAAATGCCTTCTAATTTCTTCCCTGATTCTTTTCTTAAGAATCCTGTGACTGTCTCCTTGTTGCCAGTGCTTAACTAAAGGAAATAGTTTTACCCTATTCACCTTGTCATACCCTTCAGAATCCGAAATACCAGTGCATCCATTTCACCTACTGTTAGTTCCTATTGGTCTTTGCCAACTGTGGACTCCTGTTATCGAATCAGAGAATTAGTAAGTGTTTGACACAAGACGTGGCTTCAACATTATTCAAGTATAATAGTCCGCAACAGTCGTAGATTCAGATTTTGAGTGAAGCATTACCACGTGTCTAAGCTCTGATGGCATAATAATTTTATCATTCCATGCACATGAGACTATAGATTTCTCCAACTGAAGCATAGCTCACAATGGTACTATTCCAATCTCCACTTTATGTCAACATGTACTTGGAAATGTGGAAAACAAAACCTGACAAATTATAATGATGCCCCACCACTTGGTGGTAATTTTACTGGAAATAGTCAAACTAAAGATGTTGACCACACAGTTGAACAGATCTGTTTTTTTTTAAGCCAGGGAAAGCCATGAGGAAAAGTAGTTTGGGAAGAATTCCAGAGGGACAGGAGTCTGAAGGCTCAGCCACTGGTGGCAAAATGAATGGAATGGGGAGCAAATAATTAGACCAGATTGGAAGAGCTGACAAGAGTTGGGACTAGAGATCATTGCATATGTGAATGAAAACGTGGAGAGGAGAGCTCCAAAGCATGGGAGAAAACTGACTGCTGATGGTGGAACAAGGAGGGGGCATGAAACAGGTTGGAGTTTGCAGAGAGGAAGGAATGGCCAGGGTTATAACTCACAGGAGGTTACACAGGTGATGCAAGGTGGCAATTGAAGATATGTACAAGGATCTTAAATTGATATGCTGGGAGTTAGGGAGTCAAGTGATTTTGTTGGAGATAAACTTGTGGAGCCTAGTGCAGGGGAGAATGTGGGCTGTGATGTTCTGGTTGGTCTGAAGGTTATGGAGGAGATTGGTCCCAGCCCTGTTTAGGTATAGTTCATCAATACTCTCTAGATCATAGCTACCCCAGAATTGCTCCCGGTGTCTGAGGATTATGAATCCTTCCCTCCGGTGGCATCTCTCTAACCACACATTTACCTCCTTAATCTCCCTATTGCTGCAAGTAGCACTAGGAGTCTTCTGAACTTACTATCCTTGATCTCCTGGTCTTCAGTCTATCTCCCAACTGCTGAAAATGCCTTTGCAGCACCTGAAAATACCCTTTCCTATTTCCTACATCACCACGTCTGACTGTTTTCCCCCTTTCCAAAGTCTTCTGTACCTGCTCCATTAAGTCACTTACCCTGACACCTGGAGGCAAGGTGTCATTCGCGACTGATGGCTTTAGGTACAAAACCACCTTTCTACACCCCTGACTGGAATTTCCCATCACTACTGCATTTGTTGACTTCACTGTTTTGGCAGCGATTTTCTACAAAGTGCTATGGGTGTTGTTCACAGTTACCTTCCATTGTCGGTGTTGTCCGTCCTACAGGTATTTACTGCTTCACATCCGTTTGTCAGTTTAACACTAAAGGATCCCTGCACTGTCCCCTACTTGTCCTTGTCCTGAGGAATGGTTATCCACGTACTTTCCAGCGTAACTGTATCTATGGGGATGGCCACCTCCTCGTGCGCATTCCAGGAGCCTTTCCACCTCACATATGTCACAGCATAACTAGCTGATCATCCTCAAGGTCAGACTGAGCGCGAGGGCAAGCAGCAGCAGATGTCTCCCACATGTGTGGTCTTTCCCGACAAGAGAAGCTTCCAGGAGCTCTCACGTCATGAAGGTTCGGCAGAACAGATGCTTACGCAAGTAGATGGGTCTGATTCCCTCAGTAAGAAAAGCCCAACCAGACAAATTTTGTTTTCATTTGTGGGCAATCGATTCAACGATAACCAACTGGAACTATCCAGAAATAGCGATCACAGTCACGTTTCTGAACAAAAGCTTCCACACACAGCAACAGCCAGAGCTGCTTATTAAATGATAGTCCTCGGGGAGTCCAGCTTATAGGAGCAAACATTCCAGCAGTGTGTGATTGTAACATCCACAATGACCTTGATTCTGAAGGCTTGCAAAACTAAAATGATGAAAACCTGGTCCATTTATAAAGGAATTTTCAGTTTCTTAGTGCACGTAGTGAAGATTGCTAAATTTAAAAGACGAGAGGAATGTATCCCCTTTGAGGCCATGTTACTGTTATTTTGGTCTCCCTCACGTCCGATTGGAAATAAAGCCCTATAGTCTCCTCATTTTTGAAAGGCATCCAGAAAGGGTAATGCTCCATTCTTCCTGTTGTCTCTTTTAGACTCAAGGTGGCCTCTGATCAAACATATGTCAGAATAAGCAAGTGAAGAAGTCCGGTTAGTTTAACCGTGATCTTCCTCACTCCTTAAAAGTTCAGTCTTCACTCAGAAACTTCCCTCCCAGTTGAACCCTTATTGCTTTTCCTGAACTAGAAAGCTATACTACTGTTTTCCTACTCTTACTTTACACAATATCTTTGCGCTGTGTCCTCAGGGAAAAGAAGCAAGGTACAGCACACAAAGAAGCTTTAGTACATAGGGAGGGTGCATGGTCACAGGGGATGTCATTGTGCTTTGATCTTTATCCTATTTGTATGTTTAGGGTTCACTTCTTTCAAAACTGAGGAAGATCATGACAATTGTAAAGCAACCTAATATTTCGTGTTCAGTTTTAAAAATTGGTATCAATATAAACAGTATTGTCACACTACAAAGTTATTCATGTTTATTCATATTTTCGGTTCTTAAATGGGCTATTTAATATTGATTCATAAAATGGTGCTGTATTTTGGCCTTTTTGTAGTTTGTCAAAATGCACACTGAAAAATAATTCTGTAAGGATGAGATCAAACTGGATAGAATGGCATCTTCATCCAAACTTTTGTGTTTATAGTTTTATAACACAACCTATTTGTTTCATGGAATGCCTTGTTTTTCTCTGTCCACCCTGGGAAAAAATGCTCTAAAAATCTGAAGATGAAATAACATAGTTGTGTTTAAAATGCTTAATTGATGGGTAACTATGATGCTTTTTAATGACATTGTTAAGTCAAGATTGTTTTGTAGCAGAACTGACCATTTACAAAGTAAAATGCAGCAGGAGTTTCCTTGTATCAGGCAAAAAAAGGTGGTTGTGGCTGCATTTTTCAGTCTGTATTTCCTTGTTTTCCCACTTCCTCCATTCTGCCACCAATTTTCCAGTGGCATGTTTACAGAGATGGAAAAAACTGGCTAGCTATTGCATCTATCCCTACATGTGCTAATGAAGGAACATGAAGAAGGCATTGCTGGTCATGTAAGGGTGCACTATCATAGAAATTTGTTTGCAGAACTACAGGATAGGAACAAAAACCCTTTTTTTTAAAAAGTATTTTTGAGCAATATCGAGACAGGTCATTTACCTCAATTAAAGTGCATTTGGAGTAGTATTCAGAAAGAGCATTTCAATTCTTCCAGTGAACAATAATGACTGCCATTTAAGTCTCATACTGCATTATATTACAGTGCTTGGGGGGGAAAGTGATTTGCATTTGCCACAGGAGAACAGTAAGAGAAAGACGATAATTATTTTCACATTTAATTTTTTGCTTTTGTTTAAAATTCTGGTAAGTGGCTGAGGCTGACTTGAAATTTTCTTTTTACAGGACTAGCAAATTACAGGTAAAGAAATGAACTGGAAAAAGTGGTATTACTAGTAGTTTATGACAAGGTTTTGGTGCATAATTTTTATGCATTGTGTTGTCTTTCAACCACAGTAATTATCTGCTGAGGACATTAGGTAGTAAATTGTCATGACATTCCCCCAGAGATAGCATTATCAGGTGTGAAGGTACAATCCACTCTAGTGAAAAACCGAAAGCTGCATATATTCAGCGTTTCTTAAAACCATAAATGTTGTTCCATAAATGCCCGTGTAACTGAAATACACCAAGGGCTTTTCAAAATCAATAATGGATAAAGTATACTTAAGAAGGAACCATTTTGATTACAAAAAACACTTTCGCATAACAAATCATTTAATAATAATAATCCTTGCATTTGATATAGTGCCATATCACGTCTTTGAAACTTCTCAAAAGCGTTTCACAGAATATTTTGGATGTCGCGTTTCGCCCACAAAATATACAGTCAATTCACTTTAAGTTGTATTCTGTGAAGCGCTTTGAGATGTCTCGTAGATTTGATAAGGTACAATGTCAAATGCAAGGATTATTTTTATTATTTGTAAGAGCATTTGAAATTCCCTCTCTGCACATGGTTTACATATGGAACAAAATGCACATGCTTTTCAGAATTTGCAAAATAGACTCCCGAAGACTATCAACAAAACACGATTTAAGATGACGAGGGATATGTTGATCATCCCCCTACGTATCAGCAAACATTTTTTGTTTGTGTTGAGAAATCCAAAAGCTTAGCATTGAACTCTTCCTCAGCTCTAATGGTAGCATTTCTAATCTTGTCCAAGTTATAGACGCTAAACTGCAGACACCTTCATTGGGAAAGTCTACGTGGGGAGATCATTTTCATTTTGAATCTTCCTCCCCTGCAACCAAACTGCTGTAACATGAGTTCTGAAAATGACTGGAACTTACAACCATCTTCAAATAGTTAGAACAAAGTTTTGTTGTAATGAGCTCTTTGTTCCAACTTAAGTGTAGTTCAGTTGTGTTCATGGTTATAGTTTTAATTTAGCAGTGATGCTCTTAAATTTTCAGATTGTAATAAGGTGCTAACTCTCTTGGGGGATAGAGTTGAGATTGTACCTAATGTCCTGTTGTAGCTGACCCTGGAGTGAAAGTTGTATTACCATTGGGAGTTGGTGTCTGTTGGTTCATTGTACTGCCTTGTTTATACTATGAACACTGAACACTTTCATGGAACCTGAGACACCAAAAACCACTGCATCTTCCCACTCAGCAGTTTCGCTCACTTGTCGTATCTGTCCTCTTTGGTACCAAAGCATTAAAATTAAAAAAACATGTTTTTTTACATTGAGCTGAATCCATTATATGTTACATTCCTACCTTTCCTTTTGGCCTTTTACACCTGTTACAACACTTCCTTCAAAATAACATGAACCTCTGAGAGAACCATTAGAAAAAATTCACGCAAATGGTTCAATATACCGGCTAATCCACAATACAAATGATGCATTGTCTTCAACATATGCAGTATGTTTGAATGTTTATCTCCACTCTGAAAATATGACCAATGTTGTTAAAAACACAGTATTGTTTAATATGTTTCTGTAAACCATTGTTTTCCAGAATTGAACAGAATTTTCTTAATTGAAATGTATTTAGAACGTGTTAAAATCCTTTATTTGAGGGAAAAAACAGTCTTATAGATGTTAGTTCAAAATGTTCTTTTTGTTCATTTAACAGGGTTCTCGGGGATCCGGGAAGGATCAGTACGGCAGGGATCTGCTTGTGTCATCCATCCTTGCTGCAGCCAGCCGTAAGAGAAAGAAAAAGGATATAAAACCGCTGCAAAGCAGCTCAGATGATGAGTTAGAAAGTGGGTTTTCCAGGAAAGGGCAATCCAGCCATTCCCACGGCAGCCCAACAAAAGAATTAGCAATTAAAAGAGAACCAGAAAATGAAATCAACTCATCTGAACCAAAGGGAACAAGAGTTAACAAAGGTAGTGAGCAGCAAGAGAAAGAAACGCCAGGTGGAAAAAGGTACACTTCATCTGTGACAATGGTTGAAAAGAAAGGAATGGGCATACCACCCTCAGCGGAAGAAGGAAAAAGGCAGCCAGAACAGACCCCTTCCCCCCACTGCCAAAAACCCACAGACTCGCCTAAAATCAGCTATCGTCGTAGCTCACAATTGATTGCAAGCACAATACCCACTTGTCCTGTGGAGGTTTCTGTCAGTAAGGTGAACTCCAAGACTAACAAGATGGCATCTGACACAGGCACTACGATCACCAATGAATCTCAGGTCTCTCTGCAGCAAACCAACACAAACAAATGGAAACCCTCTGAAATCAGAAACATAGAGACAGGTGCTGCAGATGTAAACTCCATCACATCTGACTATTCCACAATTTCTTCTACCGCATACCTTGCAGCCATGGATTCCCACACACTGAATGCAGAAGTCCGATCAGTGGCGGAAAGTAAAGGCGATGAAGCTGATGATGAGAGAAGTGAACTCGTCAGTGAAGAGCACCACATAGAAACAGACAGCGACAGTGACTTTTCTGTTTTCGCTGCAAGTTATACACCTGAAAAGGGTGCTTGTGCAACAAAGCAGGAAACTGGAACGTATAATAGGAGGAGCTCTGAAGGGAGTGACATGACTGGAACTGAAGGAAGTTCTACGCCAAGGTTAGATAGTCAGAGGATGTTCAGTTCACGGAAGCTTATTGAATGCGATACATTGTCCAAGAAGAAGTCTATTCGATTGAAGAAAGACCTTGAGACAGCGATGGAGCAGAACGAGTCAAATAGAGGATCAAAGCTGGTTGATGTAATGAAGAAAGGCAAGTCAACGAGCAGCCTAGCTTCATGCACAAAGAACGAACCTGAAAAAGTAGAACCTCCTTGGAAGCTAAAAATCACAGACCGATTAAAACTGCGTCTAAAGACCTCTGCGGATGACATGTTTGGAATAGGCGTAAACAAGGCGAGCTCCGGAGACATCAGTAAGAAGAAGAACATCAGGCGGAGACACACCATGGGAGGACATAGAGACTTTGCGGAGCTCAGTGTTCTGAATGACTGGAGAGCACAGGAGCAAGAACAGAATTCTCAGAACAACGCAGGCAGCGGGAGTAGAGAATACCAACTCTCTGCAGTGGATCGCCTGAAGCCAAAATGTCAGTCCCAGGACCTCTCAATCACAGAGTGGCTTGCACGAGAACGCTTGCGCAGTAGTACACCAGATTTGCACCCAGAAAAGGTGCCCGAGTCGAGATCTGTGGATATTAACTTAGGCAAGGGAGCACACCCAAAGGTCCGTGCATCGTGTGGAGAAGAGGCAGGCAGCTCTCAGCTTAGTCGGCCTTCCCCTTCAGCATCACCCAGCCCAGTATCGCTGTCAGGCCAAGTGAATGGTGATGGTCACCAAAGCAAGAGCAAAAGCAATTTCAGTTCAGTAGCTGATGCCCATCCCCATAAACTATCCAGTAATCAAGTCGTCAAATCTCGTTTCTATCAGTACTTGTAGGTTTGCAACCTATTTATGTCTAGTGCTGTAGAAAATTGTATATAGTAAGACACTGTTTTTTAAATGATTCATCCTTCTGTATATATTTCTCTTTACTTGAATTTTGAAAACTGTTAATGCTCTGCTGCTCAGCCTATAATACAGGCTAGTTTCTGTGCTGGGCATCATGGAAGCTCTCCACAGTGCGCAGCATCAGCCTGAAGGACTAACTTTTGTATTTATGAAATTCTTACAAAAGAGCATCAAGTGCTGAAACATTTCTGATGCAATGTTCTGTATACTGCTTACTCTGTACAATTGGATATATGCATACACCTTAAATGCTCTACTATTGGACACCGCTGCATCCATACATTGTCCTTCAGCTTGTAATAGTGAACAAAAATGTGTATTGGAACCTAATTGTTTGAACTTCAGTTGCTAAAGAAAGTGCCTCATCTCAAAACGTTTTGGGTTAGATAGAGTGCCATATTGTCTTTTTAGTTCAAAAGACTAGAAATCTACTGTGAACAAAATGAGTTTTATCTATAAACAAACCATAAATTCATTTCATTTTTCCAGATTTTATTAACCGAACAAATACAGAGCTTCCATACTTTCGGCATTCCAGTTGGATCTTATGAACATTTTTTTAAAGACAGAGTTTTAATACAGTCTTTGTATGGATTTGAATTTTTAAAGTTTCTGTAAAGATACTTAACTTAAATGTGTGCGTGTGTATGTGTGCGTGTGTATGTGTATGTATATATTTCATGGAAACTTTTTTCAAATTTGAGATTTGATGAAAGCATTGTAACATAGGCATGTAGATAGTGGTCTCTGAACAATTGGTCCCTCTCACATTTTTCACCATCTCGGATGAGAAATGTAATTGTGCATGAGAACTGTTTTCTCAGACTTCACATTGTATTTAGCCTGTGTACAGATATAGGCAAATGGTTTGTAAATGTCCCCTGGAAACACTGGAAATAAAATTCTGTTTCTGTGGATCTTGGTCTAATTTTTTGCCAGTAAGTCTTCTTTACTGCTTTAGTCTATATTGAATGTGTGTAGAAATTATTTTACAAAATTCATCTGCTATAGTGTGTGTCTGTGTATACGTTCGCTCGCATGTACTGGGGGAACCCTTTTATTCCTTTTTTTATTTTGGGAGATTACATCAGTTAGTTGGGGGATCCTGAGAATATAGACCCCAATATCATTGGGAAATAACTCATTCTTACTCTTTTTGTATTGCAAAAGGTGAAATCCATTCAGCACAGTGTGAGCCAAATTCCTGCACATTTTAGTTCACCTCTTTTGTGCATTTTCACCAAATGTATTCCCTTGCCTGTAGTGTAGATTACAATCATGTAGCTTGAGTGCAGTATGTCCATTTTCACCTCTTGCTGTAGACGACTGGTGGTCAACCTGTGGCCCGCGGGCTGGAAGTGGCCCACAGCGCCATCAAGAAACAGCCAGTCCCCCGATCAGTCAAGTCCATGTTGTCAGTTTATTCTTGACTGAATATTTCTTAATTGATAGCACAAATCAAGAAATATTCAATCAATAAAATGTATTTGGCTGACCAGAAAGGTTGGCCACCACTGTTATAGACATCACTGCATCACTTCAATCACTTTAAGGATGATTGGCAACAATTCAGAGGTACTTGAAGTTAAATGCAAATTTCTAACACCCCTGCTAGAGTTCAGCTGTATCCTGTCAGTGTTTCAACTTCATACTAGCAATGTTTAATCTACAAACATTTAACATCCTCCACACTGCCTGCAAGGACACCTGAGCTGCAGCTCAGAATACTGTAGCCAGTTAATAAGTAACACTATGTTTTGGCATCAAGCCCAGTCTATAGTGGAGGTTATACCATTATAGTAATTATATACATACCAGACTGCAACCCCATCATCTCAGTTCTTGCTAGGCTCCACTGCCTCTGTGTTGTAGAATGGATTGATTTCAAGATCCTCACTCTCACTTTCAAATCACTTTATGCTTGGCAACTCCCTACCTCTGATCTACTCACAACCCATTACTCATCACTTTCACTCAGATGGCTCTGATCTTCTGCAAATCCTATGTCCCAGAGCTGGATTAAGCTTGATGAGGGCCCAGGGCTATCATAGTTTTTTGGGGGGGATCCCTCTTCACATGTTGAATTCCATCCCATTACTGTTTTACCACCACCCATGCCTCCAGTGATGCCAAATGTTAATTTACCTTGGTTATTTCAGTTCTGTTTTTTAAATGTGGTACAACAATTGTAAAGCTGAATCAAAGTTAAAGCTAACAAAACATATTAATTTCAGCACAAACTGGTAATATCACTTAGTGATGTTAAAGATAAACTCATACAAGTATACAATTTTACACTAGAACAGCTTTAAATCAGTTTCTTCCTACTCTTCATGGCCAAAAGGTTTTCAGTGATGTTGTTGAAATCCAGCTGGTTAAGCAAGTCACACTTGATTGAGTTGCCAAATTATTCAATCTTGGTTGATCTATAGTTGACCTGAGTTTCCTTAATGCCAGTTTTGATAATGAATGTTCGTCTCCAGGGTTACTTACTGGTGATGTCAAAAAAAATTTAAAGTGATGTCTGTCTCTGCTGCCTCTTCTTTCCATCTCACACTTTCACACACTCCCTATCGCCAGGGCCAAGAGAATTGCGGAACTATTTGCGGGAAATTTGACAGATTTTGCAGAAAATTGTGGGGACTTGATTGGTGCGATTGAAAGTCACATTTTACAGCCAACCTACATTTTTTCACTTTATTGATAAAAATTAAACCTGAAGAAATAACACATCATCACAGATTGTTGCTTTAACAAACACTGGGTGGCCCACGTGGTGAGGGACAACACAGGCCTGAAGGGCCAAATGGTTCGCTTTGAACCGCAATACATTTGAAGGCCTGGAAATACTCTGAGCACCAGCATTGCTCATCATGCTTGTGTGTCCTGACTGGGAGGATTCGGGAGGTTATCACTTCCTCCCTCTCTGGGCCTGCCAATCTATAAATAAAAATATTCACATAATATAGTCCTTGAGCAGGGACTCCGAATAGTCAACATTGGAGATGAGAACTGAGCGGTTTGTGAAGCTGTCTGATGCAGGAAGTAAAGCCACTCGAAAAATCCCAATATAGGATTACTTTAATGGTGACAGTGAGTGACAAATATATTAACTTTCACTGAACAAAATCTTGCATTTATATAACACTCTTCACATTGGATTGTGTCTCGACGCATTTAACAATGGCGTAGATTGACATCGAGTGGGAGAAATTGGAAGTGACCGAAGGGATAGTCGAAGAGGAAAGCCTTCACATGTGACCTCAAAAAGGCAGCAAGCGGCAAGGAAGAGGGCTTGAGGCAGGGATTTCCAGAAGTTTGAGGGATTATGGTGGACTCAATCATCTGATAATAATGTAATAATCCTTGCATTTGATAATACAATACGACATTTGTATAGCGCCTTTTATGTCAGGAGGACATCCGAAGGCGCTGGACAGTCAGGGATTTGGACTTGAGCTGGTAGTTGGGATCGGGAAGGATGGAGGGTAGAGGGTGACCAAAGGCTCAGTAAAGAGGAGGGTTTTGAGACATGCCTTGAAAGAGGCAAGAGAGGGAAAGAGGCAAAGGGAATGTGGGATGGAGTTCCATGGGATGGGGGCAGAGCCTGAAGGCCCGACAGCTGATAGTGGGGTGAGCCAATTGGGAGATGTGGAGCAGGCCACAGCCTGCTGAATGGAGGGAGCGGACAGGTTGATACGAGGTCAGCAGGTCGCAGAAGTAGGGAGGGGCAAGGCCGTGAATGGCTTTGAAAGTGAGGACGAGAATTTTGAATATCATCTGGGGGATGGGGAGCCAGTGGAGCCGGGCAAGGGTGGGGGTGATGGGGTCATGGAGCCTGGTCTGGGAGACGACATGAGTTGCCGAGTTCTGGATGATCTCCATCATGTGGAAGGAAGAACTGGGAAGGCAGACAAGCAGGCAGTTAGCGCAGTCGAGCCAAGACATGATGAATTTCGGCAGCCTGAGGGGTGAGGAAGTGGCGGAGCCGTGTGATGTTGCGGAGGTGGGGGAAGGCAGAGCGGGTCATGGCACAGATGTGGGGTAGACAGGACAATTGAGGGTCAAGCAAAACACCAAGGTTCCGGACTGGCTTAGTAAGGTGGAGTGTGCAAACATGGATGGTGATGCTGTCAGCACCTGAGGTGTGGAGGCGCTGACGGGAGCCAATCAGGAGGGCCTCGGTCTTGTTGACGTTCAGCTGAAGTAAGTTAACTCTCATCCAGGACTTGATGTCTGACAGACATTGTACCAGGACAGCAGTGGTCCTGGAGTCGAGGGTGGAGGCAGAGAGCTAAGAGTTGGGTGTCATCTGCATGTCATCCGTGGAAATTGAGCTCATTTCTGTGGATGATGTCACCAAGAAGGAGTATATCGATATTGAAGAGGAGGGGACCGACCACAGAGCTCCGAGGAACACCACACGAGACGGTGTGGGGGCCAGAGGAGAAGCCGTTTGTGCAGATAAAGTGGAGACTCTGTGAGAAGTACAATCTGAACCAGTCAAGGACAGAACCATGAAGGTTGAGGTGAGAGGAGAGGCAGTGGAGGAGGATAGAGTGGCCAACGGTATAAAAGCACCTTATCACAGGATTTACTGTAAAGTGGATTGACTGTATTTTCTGCGGCAACCAGTTTGCACACAGCAATATTCCACAGACAGCCATGGAGTGAGTGACCAATTTTATTGGTCAGGACACCAGGAGAAACTCCCTTCTCTTTTCTTCTGGTGCCGTGGGATCTTCTAGCATCCACCTAAACAGGCAGACGTACATCCCATGGCACTATTCAAAAAGAGGAGTTTCACGTCTCATTTGAAGGATGGCACCTCCAACAATGCAACACCCACCCAGCCCTGCATCGGAGTATCAGCTTAGACTATGTGATTCCAATTCCTGAAGTTTGAACCCACAACCTTCTGACTCAGAGGCAAGAGTGAGCCAGGCTGACACACTTCCAAAAGTCTGCAAAGTGTTCACAGTGTAAGATCGATGCAGTGAAACAAGTACCTGCAAGCTGTAACGGTGCAGGCAGTGTTACTACAGGCTTGTTTCATGTCCACTTAATATAAAACACCATCAATTTAATTACACTCAAAAGGCAACAAACTGAGGTTACAAGCATGCGGCCTTTATTTCATTGCTTCTTCACAAGGCTAGAGTTTGCAGCTCACCACAATGCCATATTTTACAGATTGCTTTACAAAAAACAAAACTATGTACAAAAACTCTGGATGTGCAAACATGCCCCATCTTATACCCATCTGTTTCTTAAAATAATATATCTTATAATAAAAAGGCATGCAAGGAAACAAACTTTGGTGCTATCTTGGAAACTAAGCATCCCTGCAGATTTATAAGCAGATATGTGTATAGATTTATAGTTTTTTTTATACACACACACAAAACACGCGTTTGCCAGTTTTACAAGTTTCTTAATATGGGTTAACAAATCTCGATAAGCAACTACAATAAAAACTGGCAAAAAAAAGCACAAAAAAGGCAAGAATCCAGGTGCTTTTTTTAAAAAGATTTTAAAGAATAATCATCGGTTGGAAGTACAAAAGCACAGCTTTGGAGCAATTAGAAATAAATGCCACCTATATATAAAAAACAAGCAAAATATGAAACAGTTTTTCATTCTCACTCCAAAAACCAATACTCATATCCTTAGGCAGTACAACAGACAGTATATCTACACCATGAGGCTTTCGGTCACTGGTTCCAAACCAGAGATTTAATCTGCATTCTCCTGTCCCTTTTTATTTTGTGGAACATTAGGCAATATTTATTGAACTGTCAGCAATAGAAATTTAAAAACAAAACAGCGGATTTACTTGGTTTAGGTCTGGATTCAATAGGATGTGCAGTTATGTATGGTTGTAAATAGTAAAAGATGTACTTACCACAAACATACATTCCTCACCCCATGGCTGCCTTTGACCTAGATTGGCATGTGTTGTGGTTAACACTTTAGCCATTAAATAAAGTGTTTTGTCCCATGTTCCTGTTTATATTCTAGCCAGGTGAAAAGCTGAAGCGATGTGCTGAATAAATGTAATTCAGTGCAAAAAATATTTGTGTTGCTGCAGTCATCCCAGTTTCTGTTCTTTCGACCTGCCCTGGATTCTAAATTCATCTCCGATCCAGTGCTAGATATCATTTGATGCAGCCATGTGTAAGTATGGAATAATTTATGCCCATCTTACTTTAGCATCCCACAGTGCTCATTATTCAAACTTTACAATAGTTAAATCAATATCATCTGCGCATCGTGAAAAAATACTCTGTATACAAAACAATGCGTTTGAAAATAACTTGTTAGGTGAATGTCTTTGTTACTACTCTCTTTATATCTCAACCTGAATTCGTTCATCACACCCCCCCTGATTTTAGGCCTGGTTAACTTGGAACATTTATTTACAAGAGAAACACTGCAAGTGGACTTCATTTCCCCACACACTGCAAAAGTAAGTCAGTGTTTGCTGGCTGACACAGATTTGCTAATTCTGGTTACATTTAATGCATACTTTGTAAAGACTGTACCAATATATAATCATTAACAGCATTCTACTGCAAATCAAAGAATAAATGATGTGGTAATCATGCGTTCATAGTGCTGCGTCTATGCCGTTTCTTTGAGAGTGGCCACACTGGGCTTGCTCTGGCTGCTGTTCTGTTGCTTGTAGCTTGCGAAGCTAGCGGTATGGATTGTCCGAATGCTCTTCACACCTTGAATTAATGAAGTGGGAGAAACCGGGGAGGGGGAAGAGGATGAGGAAGAGGATCTGCCATTTGGCACGTGTAGTGGGAAGGAAGGATGCTGAGATTTGCCTGTTAATGGAGGGTTCTGAGCATGAAGCTTTAGGGAGCCGTTAGATGCAGAGGGGATGTGAGATACAGGTGAAAGTGGAGTGGAACGCCCGGCAGCTGGAGTAAAATTAGTAGCAGGAAGGGCATATTTACTAGAGGTACTGGGAGAGTTAGTGTCACTGCTAGGACCAGATATAGAGCTAGTTTTCCCAGAGCTGGGAGAAAGGGCTGGGATCTTAGAAGCAGGTAAAGTAGGGGAAGTAGCCTTACTCTCCCCACCAGCTTTCTTAGCACTTCCATTAGCCTGCAAACAAAGATGGCGGGAGACAAAGTTTATCAGAGAGCCAGCAACAATTTCAACCCTGGGGCCTGCCAGAGCAGTCCCAGATAGACAAAGAATTAACAGTGTAGAACCTTATTTATCCTGGTGAGCATCGTGGAAGATTAATGGACCTGGTAAATCCCACAACATTCAAAGGTGGAAAGAAAAGGAAAAAAAAGGATGAATAAGATTATGATGAGTTAGGCAAACCATGCTGTATTATTAGAATGCAAGATTGGAAAAAAACTAATCAAACAATGATTCATTTCATAATTCATTCACTGGACACATAACCATCCAGTCGTTAGTTCTGAAGATTATTCAGCACAGGTTATTTCAGCCATTCCATTTATGCACAAAAACACTAAATGGGAAAAGGAACAGGAAACAGTACAATAGTAAGTTACCAGTAAAAGGGAATAACTGCTGGAGAGGACACAGATACACAGGAGAAGGTTACTGACAAGAAATGTGGCAAGTCACTTGTGGGTTACAAAAGAGAGACCAGGATTTTCACACGATTCATCAGTGTCTGAACACTGATGTTAGCCCCAGGTTCACAATGTAACTTAAAACCAGACATAGTTGCAAACAGTTTTAAACTCTCTGAATGTCCACAATTTTTTTTTGCAAAGAGGACAATTCTGAAATCCCTCAATGTTTTAACTTTCTTCACTACATTCTCGCTAGACGTCTAAAACAAAACTACCTGTCGGAACTGGCGCTGGGGGTCTTGGAGTTTGGGTTTGGTCGCTTTGTCTGCGTTGCTCTGCTGTTGCTGCCGCTGCTGTTGCGTTTTGGATCCCACAGAGACCGGCATTCTGCTAGTGGGCGACATCAGGTTTGAAGCCTGCAAACAGAACGATCCTCGTTTAAAAACAAATCCCCAGAATTTGATTCCTCTTTTATTCCAATACCTGTGGACAAATATTTTGAAATCAGAATTCAGGCCATTGAATCACCAGAGAGGATCAATCGCAGACATGCTATTCTGCGCTGCATCTGCATAGATCACCATGACCCTAAGATTAGGAAAGCTCATTGACCCGTTACATGCGTGAGCAACAGAGTCCCCACTTCACCCAGATTCTTACTCAGGTTAGAGATGCAGAGGCAAGAAAACAAAAATAAGGTTAACCTACAAGAAGCATACATTACCTGAAACAAAATCCGGCTTCTATGAATACACCATAATGCTGCCAATTAATAAAGAAAATCAAGTTGCCCGGCTCAGTTCAGCTCAGCAGTCAGATTAATAAACAATAGATTTCCCCAACACCACACTTAAAGAATATACTTTTAACCAATTATTGCGTCAGTTGTTAGAAACCAGAAAGAGGAGTCACACCACCACATGAAGCAGCGATCAAGGAATAGAAGGGGACACCTGTACACTTGCTTTTGTGGAGATTTTTGGAAGGAGCGGTGGTTTGCCTTTGGCCTGCTGAGGTGCCTTTCCAGAAGAAAGCAGGGATTGATCTGCAGGAGATTTGGATTCATCCTGAACCGTTCCAGAGTCGTAAAAAATTGTGGCGTTATCCACATATTCCTCCCCCTGATCTGAAACCTTTGGGCTCATTTCACTTATTGTCGTTTCCAACTGCTTGATGGTTTGCTCAAGACTATCCAGGGTCTTGTAAGTGTTTTTCCGAATCTGATCTGTTCTGGTTGAATTCGACACAGGATCGATGGTGCTGTGTTGCTTTGGCTCGCTGGTTTTGCTGGCGGCTTCCTCTTTATTCTTTGACCGGGTGATCTCAAATCTCTTTGATTCCTTGTGCTGCTTCACAGTTCCGTCAGGTTCCTCCTCATCCTCGTACACGACGACCTGCAGTGTTTTCCTCCCGGTCTTCGTGCCTGTACGGATCGCTTGGGTCAAAGCTGCAAGTTGCTTCTTGGGAAATTTGAACTTGAATTTCTTCTTGGAATCGTTCTTACTGGTGTCCACACAGTCAGGTGTGGATGTCTCATCTTGGACAGCTTTAGTACTGGCTTTGTTTGCTGTCTTCGTTTCATCCAAACCGAAGCGGACGTCACTAGGTTCACCAGATTCAGAATCAGCTGTTGAATTCAAAGCGAAAGATTCTGGACATAATTGATTATTGTTCATGTTATTGATCCTCGTGGAGTATGAGGTTACGGTCTCGGATGCCACTTCCATGTCTTCGTTTTCTTCCTCTATTCTCTCCTCGGCCATCATTTTTTCCAGCTCTTCGTCAGATTCAAAAATTGTCGACAATCTTTTGTAAGCCGATCGGATATCCATGGGTTCGTCAAAGATGATAATCACTGGTTTCTTATCAATGCAAAACTCTGGGGCTTCGTTCCCAGTATCCTGTGGGGTGTACTGGTGTGCCGTCATTGCTTGATTTGCATCAACGCTCACAGTCTGGATGCCTTCTCCACTTTGGTTTACCAAATCGTTGACCTCACCACTGGACAGGGCCTGCACCTTGGTGTTTGTAATCATAAATGCTATGTTGTCGGTCGATGATGTCTCATCTCCAGAGGAACCCGAAGAGTCAATATCCTCAGCATATCTGACAGTAACCTTTTTCGAAGTCTTTGGTCTCAATACTACCTGCTGGCTGCAATTTCCAGCTTGTTGACTAGACTCTGCTGTTGGCACGTCCCATTCTTGAGGATGAAATTGATTAACATTTGAATCCTGCTGGCTAACAAATGAGGTGATTTGCTGCATATACGGTTGGCCCTTCTCTGGTCTAACCAGGTTAGTATCACCTCGATTAACAACCTCATTCATATCGGGAGTATTTGCAGAATATGTGTTATCCAATTCGCTCACTCGGTCAGGTTTGTGGAGTCTGTACTCTGTTTCAACCTTTACGATTGATTCATGACCTCTTAAGGCAGGCACCAGCTCTTTCTCCAAAGTAACACTGTGCTCGATTGCAGCAGACTCGAGCGCAACTTGTGTTTGATCTGATACAGATTGCTCTTCATCTCCCAAACATTTGAGGGTCTCCTTGGAGGCCTCCTGAGGCACAGATGTGTCATTCTGAGGCTGAACTTCAATTTGGGAATCGTTTGAATGAACATCATGAAAGATGAAGGTGGAGGTCTCGAGTTTATCGGACAAATCCTGTAAAAGATAGCCAAGAATAATAAAATTGGCAAATATTCTCTGAACTGTAAAGATTTTTATTGCCGCAAACATCAAAGATGCAGAATAAATTAGCTAATAAGCTTTAACAGAAAATTATGATCATTACTATTATTGATTTAATAACTTCCACCACTCAAGACACTTACCTCTGCAGATTCCAGCTCAGCCTGGCCCTCATTCGGTGTATCTATGGCCTGTTTATCTTCACTGAAAATGTCTGATTTCTGCTAGGATCATAATATGTTATTGACCAACACAAGCTTGACAGATTAGGAATGAAATATTCTTATTAAACACTGATGCATTTAAAGGTCTGGTGAAAACACACTGCCCACCAATAACAAACCTGCTGCATTTTACCCAGTTAAAAGTCTGCAACATCCCAAAAATTGCAAAGGAAGCACCCGCAGAAATCAGCAAAACAAAATCCTTTTACGATGTCAAACTCACATTCCAAAAGTCAGCGTATTCAAATCCAAACCTTAGAGATGGTTATTCCAAAGTTCTAAAGCAAAGGTTACAGCTTGGGCAAGACTTTGTCATTTACCTCACATCACCTCCTTCCACACTTGCAATTACCATAGCCTCAACTTCATAACCTTACATGCCCAAAGGAAATAGCACAGCAGATGAAAAGCCTTGCACTAATAGCCATAATCCCCAAACCAGCAAGGGAACATTAACACTCAGGTGTTCAAACAAGCAGGCCCGTGGAAATGCGTTTCGAAGTTGTGCAAGCAGTGAAATCCTTTGTGAAATTTGCATAGAATATCAAGCCAACAGCTAGTATCTGCCTGGAGAAACTACATAACAATTCATTCTCCTTTAAAATAGCGAGACTTCTGTGATTTCAGTTTACAGGTTTTGCAAAGAATAATCGTTGTCCAGAACATTTTTACATCAGTAGGAATCTTGGTTGGAATGTGTAGCAGCCAGGAGTTTGATGTAATGTGAGATGATCATGCTTTAGTGTTCAAGGGGTATGGGGTAAGGATCAGAAGACAATGTAGCTTTTGGAGGTAGAAGATACCTTTCTTGTATCCTCTTCAGGAATCAAGCAAGGCTTCCATGAGATAAACCAAACAACATGTGCACTAACACAGTCTCACCTGTGTCTCCAGGAAAAATTACATCAAACTGAAAACACAGACACTTAAAATATACTGCAGGTTGCAAGCAAAATATATTTCTGTACAGAGAACTCTTATTATATGAACTGACCAGGAAACACTAGATAGTTACAAATGATCACAATTACAATAACAGTTCCATTTTAATACCATGTGTGTTCAAGCTACATAGTCTGGGTGAATGCGCATGTTGCAGTGCACAAATTGGCTGCCGTATTCGCCTCCAAGATACACAGTCACACACTTTATTGTATATTCTTTGAAGCGCCTTGAGACGACCTCCCAATGTGAGCAGTGCTGTAGCAAATGCGAGGATTATTATTATGTTCAGATAATAGGAGTTCAACTGTATTAGTAATTGTAGTTATCAGGCTTTCTTTACACAAACGCACACCAATATGCTGCAAACAAGGTAATATCAGACTCAAACACAAAAAAAATCCAATTCTGTTCTAGTTCAGATTAAGTAGAAGCACTCGCAGAAGTATACACAGACTGGTTTTACAATGTGGATATTAATCTATTAACCAATCTTCAGTTATAGGACAGGGCATTTATGAATAAGGTGCACAATGAGGTGGGATTTAGTATTTGGTTATGAAAGACCTGCTGCACATCACAGCTTTGAAGTCATTAATGAGTTTAGAATCTGGCCACATAAGACTATTGATTTTTTAATTGATTTTGAGCGTTTTCAGTTATCTTAATTGTACAGTGGTGATTACTGATAGCAAATGCATAAATGTAGAGTTTTAAAGCGCTTTCATCTAATCAGAGCTCCACCCAAATTGCAATTACATAAGTATTTAACTTGCACAAATCCAAGTGTTAAACAGTCTTTTGTACATTTCCTGCCAATACTCAATCTCACTGTAAAGGGGGACAAAGAAACAAGAGTCAATCTATAAAATGCCACATAAATGTTAACATGTCTTAATTGAGAATATATGAACAAAGTTTGACTGGGTCAGCAAATTGCTGTCTTCAAGATCTCTGTTATGAAGAACAGGAATTCTTAAAGCTGAAAAATATGCCGTGAATTGTCCATTCCAATTACAGACTTAGACATTTGCCCGGTTTGGTTTTCAGACAGAAATTTGCTCTTAAACAGAAACCTTAATGTCAGTGGGTATTTAAGCACTGCAGCCACAGAGCGAAAAGAAAGAAGAAAGCTGGAAGGAATCAATGCAGTTAGGAACTGGAATTGTTTATAATTCAGGAAATGGGCTCAATCAGTACATAGCACATTGGGGAAGGAGCGAGAGAGAAAGAGAGCAGTACTGCTCCAAGCTTTTAAAAGTAAGTAAGTCTGCAACAAAATGAAAGAATTTATTTTGTATCCCTTGAAGAATTATAGTGGTGACATTTGCAGGAGTTTATAACTCATTTGATGTGATAATTAACACATTGAATATATTAGGGAATACAGCAATTTACCTCAATAAAATCGAGCTTAGGTCTCAATTGTTTTTGTGGTGCTTTAAGATGCGATTGGTTTCAATGATAATCTAGATCCGGTTCAAATATCCAAGATGGTTTAACTTGTAGTGAAGGGAGAAAACCTTTACTGCTTCAACAAATGCAAGACTTCATCATCCAGAATGTAGTCCAACAGTATTCGCCTCTCCTTAAAAACACAGCCCATGGTCAATCTGTAGTGTTTTATATTTATCTGAGTAAGGATATATTTACTCCATTAAAGTATTGCAGGCAACGTCTCGAACCCATTCAGTGGTTAGTCCAGATAATACCAACCCCAACTTCTGCTTATTAAAAAGGTCTCTTAATGAACCAAAGTCGATTTCATTCACAAAATGCCGTACAATTGAAGTTGTTTTGTTTGTGCAGTAAATGAAAACAGCAGCGCAAGCAGAAACAGAGGCTGGCTCCGTCTGCATTAGTGGATTAGCAGTGAGTGGGTTAGGTGATGCAACAGATGGTGAGTGAAGGGAAACAACGATAACAATGGGTTTATTTCAAGTCTGGCTGAGAGGAAGGAGGTCAGGGAGCCATCACTTGGTTCATTGTCTGTCAACCTAGAAAAGGTATGCCAAAGAACAAGGAGTTCCAGCAATCCAAATTTTCCTCTGTTCTTGAGAAACTTGATCCGTACATGAGATAGCACCTTAACACGTAGTTGAGATGTCTCAAAGCACTTCACTGGATATATTGTAAAGTGGATTAACTGTGCATTTTGTGAGCGAAGCACGACAGAGCAGTGTCCCACAAATAATCATGGATTGAGCGACTAAATCGTTGTTTTTTTTGGAGAAGGGATTAACCCCAGAAAGCAATCTGCCAATTGACTAACAACTGGGTTCCTACTTACTGCTAGGTAAACAGAGGCGTGTGGAGTAAGGAAACTTGCCCAACGTTTCGCCCTGCTGGGAATCGAACCCATGTCATCTCGCGTGCGAGGCGAGTGCTCTAACCATTGAGCTACAGGACTCCACAATGGTTTAGATTTTGACTCTTGCAAAGTGGTTCTACTGACTGAGCTATTGGGGAGGTGACCTGATGTATTTAAAATCCTGCCTCTGAACGAGAAACTAGTTGAAATGATGTTTCTGAATTTGAACAAGTTGAAACTGCAAGTTCAGACATGATGGGCCTAACAGTCTTCTTCTATGTTGTAAATTTCTATGGCTTCAAATAGATTCTTGTAGTTGTTGATATTTTTCATACTTCCTGCTGCTCGCTATTGATTCCTCAAAAGCTTTCCCTTCAAAACGAGAAGCTTAATTTCCTTGCTTCGATATCGAGACAGCATCAGTTTCACTAACCTGAGTGTGCTCTACGATAAGCCTGGCAAAAGAACGTATTGATCACAGGACTGCTTACAGCGGAGGAGAGACCACTAATAAGTCAGAAATGTTTGTGTTCGAGGGGAGGGTGAAAAACACAATGAAGAACACCAGAAAACAGGGGAATTTGAAGCACGAAACAACTGGGCACAGGTTCTGTGCTTAGTGTCTGCCAAATAAGCTCTAGTCTTTTTGGTGGTGATGGGCTGAGGGGAGGCTAAAAGGAGGACAAGTCACCTTGTGCTTCTTCTATTCCACTCCTTAGCAGCGAGCTGAGAATTGGTGATTCTGGAGAGCTGGGAGCAGGTCATGTGTTTTCCTTCTTGGTTCGAGGGAGCTGTGTACTAATTGGGCTCAATATATTTTTGGAGAACGGGCAGAAAACAAGATAGAAATAAAAATAACAAGGCACTCAGCGCAGAACCACTGGAATGGGTCTAAAATGAGGTGCTCCGAGTTGCTGCCCTGCATAAAGGGTGCTATATAAATGGGAGTTGTTGTTGTTGTATCCGCAGCAACATCATTGGTGAATGTCAAATCCTGCAGTTGACCAAATGTAGTCAGCAGAAACTCCACTCTGACACAGCCAGCAGGAGCACATCTCTAGAGTGAGTGATCTTGTGATGCACATCTGGTTACTAGCAACAACGACGACGACTTGCATTTATATAGCGCCCTATAAGTGGGATAGCGTCCCGGAACGCTTGACTGTGGTGGAGTCTGACCCCGAGCCAGGGGGTGTGAGGGAGGTGACCGTAAGCACGATCAAAAAGGAAGGTCTTTAGGTGGGATTTGAAAGTGGGAAGGGAGGGGGCTAGGTAGTTGGGATTGAGGGAGGAAGTTCCAGAGCACGGCTGCCAATGGTGGAGTGGAGGGGGAGGCAAGAGATTAACAGGAGGACTGGTAGAGGCAGTGGGTGTTGGAGTTGTGGGGGTAAGCAAATCGGATAGGTAGAGAGGTGCGAGGGCATGAAGGGATTTGAAAACGAGTGAGAGGATCTTGAAGTCGATCTGTTCAGTAATTGGGAGCCAGTGGAGCCTGGCGAGGACTGGTGTGATGGGGGTCTGGAGTTTTGTGTGGTTTAGTATCTGGGCAGTGGAGTTCTGAATTTATTAAATTTTGTGTATGTTTGATACACGTTTGATAGACGTTTGATATATATGAACCTTTAAAAATTCTGGTTCCTAATCACCCCAACCACTGTGCCTTCCCTTTTTTCTTGATGGGACTACACTTGCTTTTTGCCTTCTCAGAATCAGTGCCGTGTACTCCATCAGAAAGTCACCAGTTTGCTTTCAAATAAAGACACCTAGAATATGGTTCTAAACAAGACTGCTGAGGCCTCAGGTTAATATTCAGAGCAACTGTGCTCTGTAAATGTTGAAAGTGTTATAAGTTGGTTATCGAGGAAGCCAGTGGTGGTTGTGTGGTGTATAGCAAAGGGCAACTTTCATTCTCTGCAGACTTGCATTTTACAGCATTCAAAAGCACTTCAGGGAGCTGTGCATGTTTGCACTGCAGTACAGAAGATTGTAGTAGAGATGAGTGAACTATAGAAGAATGCATTATAGAAGCTGCAGAGGCTGTTAGTACTTGAAGCAGGCAGAGTATGCGATGTGTGGAAGCATGGCAAGCTCAGATTCCAATGTCAGAGTTGTTACCTTCTTTTCTTTGGGTGATATTAAAGCCATGGGCCTTAGGTCTCTGGTTTGCAATTCAACTCTGGGCTGCTCAACACCTGGTTTGGAACTTACATCCATAACTGAGCATTTCTGGAAAGCCTGAGAGATTAAAGTACATCAGGTTAGCAACAAAAAGGACGCAAGAGTGCAATGAAGTCAAGATACAAAATACATCACAGATCATGGAAGAAATATTTTAAAAAGCAGTTATTATACTATTCCTTTTCTATATAGTCATTCACCTACAAAATACAGTCAGCACACTTTACAGTAAATCTTGTGAAGTGTTTTGAGATGTCCTCATATGAAAGGCGCTGTATAAAATGCAAGGATTATTATTATTCTATTATTAACATAACTGACTCCTAGATTAAGACTTAATTTTCCCCAAACTCTAAGATTTTACATGTTAAGATAATGGTCTTAAGACTCAGATCATAAACATTTGAGGTCTTTGAGGGTAGATATTCCGCTTGACAAATAGATTTATTCTATTTTAGAACCAGAATCTGGTAAATCGCTGAATTTCATGTTACTCCGAAGCCAGTTCTTAAAATAAATGACTGAAAACTGGCTTCTACGTTGAGACTGTATTCAAGAATTTGCTAAATTCTGGATGCTCTGGATTGCTAAGAGATAAAATAGTAAATCCAGTCCCAGGTGGAATTTCTGTCCCCTGATGCCCACGTACACATCTACTCTGCCTGTTATTGGAAGCAGGAATTTGGGCTGATTTTTCCCTACCTAACCCTGGCTGACTCATCCACTGCAACCTGTGTGCGTGGCCTATCTGCTCTCACCCATTAGGCCACTGGGGGAGCTGTTGGTTCACTTGTGAGGCTGAAAATCTGTTCATTTCTTCGGAGAGCAACACTGAAGAGCCATCTATAGAACGGAGCAGAACCAAAGGGAATGTGAAATAACCCCTCGAGCTAAATGTTCACTCAGGTTGGATATTTTCAGTCCAGGTAATGAAATAACATTTGTCTGATTAGATCAGACAAAAACATCCCCTGTGGATAAAAAAATCAATCTCCCTCCAGGGAGAGAGCGCATTCCATTCCAACAATCTATCTCGGGAATTCCCATGTGTGGATGGGATGCATGAAATTCTCAGTTTGGTTTGGATGGTCTTAAACATAGTGATGGGTATCTGTATGTATCAGACACACCAAAAAAANCCTTACTGTAAATGCTAAAATTATTGTTCAAAAGAACAGGGTTGAGAATGCACGGTGTAGCCCCACTGCAAAGCATTTCGGCTTCCCGTGCTAAACAAAGTCGACCTTCTAGGTCCTCAGGTTACTGTCGAACACCAGCCACAAAAGAGCCTTTGCAAGTTTTCCTGATTTTCCCTGATTTTTTCCTGCAAACAGGAAATAACATGGTGGTTACCCGATGAACACAAGATGGCTATTTTCTCTTTTCCTGACATAAATAGGGAAAATCGGATTTTTTTGGATCATTTCTCATCCCAGAAACAGCCTGAAAGCCAAAATTTGGCAGGGATAGTGACCTTCAGTGTATAAATATTTGTCATTTACATTACACCACATTTACATTTATTACAATGGGGAGGACGCCCCAAGGAGCTTAATCACGGTTTGGCACCCAGATTTCAAGCCCCTTGCCAATATTTGTTAATACCTCACATGCAAACATGATAAAAGAAAAGGGATAAGAGTTTCCCTATTATTTTATTAATGTAGACTTCACATTTGATTCACATTCAATGAACTGCCTGGCGTCCAACAGGAAAGATGACAGAATGAACCGGAAAAAAACTGCCACCAGATTGAGCAAACACTTCACACAAACTGAACGCACTGAAACACCCTGCAGAATATTAAGGTGCTAATCCAAGCCGGTAACAACAGATTAGTTTCCTTTAAACTGTGATTGTTTTGACACAGAGAAAAATGCCGACTGAGCGCTTTCGAAGTGCAGTCAACCAGCTTCCACAAATCAGCAGCTTCGAACGCGTCTTACAAATGTAATCTTTGCTGCAGTGACCGCTTGCTGACCTTGTATGTCCCCCATGTAAAGTGCTGATCCAGTTCCAAAACTTCATACAGGCACCAGACATTTATGAAACAGAATGTTGTCCCTTCCTCTCCCCCCACTCCCCCCCCCCCCACCCCGCCAACCTGGCACTGACTCACGCTGGGACATAATTTTCTCAACACTAGCTGCCTTTCAGTGGCCAATCTTCCTGTCTGTGCCTAGAATCAAGGCTTGGCAGACTATACAAGCTATTCAGCCTTCCTGTAAATCCCTTCATGTCCTTGTCTCTCTGATCTCCTTCTACTCCATTGCTCTGCTCACAGCTCACAACCTTCGTTCAGCAAAGGGGGCTTATGCCACGTTCCCCGCCCTGTCCACATGTCCCCTGCTCTGTCCGTACCACCGTCGGTGACTGAGCTTTCCGATTCTATACCCCTAACCTCTGAACTTCTCCCCTCCACTCCTGAATCTTATCCCCTCTCTAATCTGTCTGTCTGCTTTAAGTACCGTCTTAAAACCTACCTCTTCAACTGCGCCTCCGGCCACCTCCCTGCTACCCCCACCTGTCCTGCTCGGCATCTGACCCCATCATAAGAATTGCCCTATGTGATATATATAAATACCAGCTGTTGTTGTTGTTGACGAACATTACAGCCATGTTCTAACCTGTCTCAAAGGAGATTCACACACATATACTTCTAGCAGGTGGTCAATGGAGGGCGATCATGAGCAGAAATCCTCACTATTTTTTCTCTTCCCTGACCCAGGCTCATAAGACTCATTTTTAGCTCAAACTAGGTAACAGCACAAAGTGCCGAACCCAAGACCCGAAATATCCCACGGTCTTAGCCAAAAGACCACCATTTAAGATTGTGCAAAATTTTCAAAAATTCTACAATTAAGATTTTTTCAAATTTTTTATTTTTCCACCATTGTGTGAAAAAAGAACTACCAGAACATAATGCTGCCAAAGGAAAAGTACAACTTAAACCCATGCGGATTAGTGGAAACGTATTAAGTGGTTTGAGCCATCTTCTCGATGTGAAAGGCAATGTTGTAAATAAAAATCGTATGAATTCTGTTGTGTCTCACATTTTAATACAACGGTTTTAAGGCTAAGTTCATGAGAAGCTACAGGCAACTAAATCATGAGCATCAACTGTGTTAACATTGAACTGTATGAGCCTCTTTCTGTTTCTGAATCACCAAACTAAAACTAGCACTGGACGCTTCAATGTAAATTAATTCCTGCTCATAAGTTTTCAGCCCACGTTGCTTGCGAAGTTAACTCGATTAACCACGATCTTTCACTGGAGATATCTCCGGGTGGACTACAAAAAAGCCGATTGAAACTCCTAAAATGACAATTTGGCTTTCTCCGTGAAAGTGCAAGGTCACCCTGCTCCGTATTATGCACCTTGTACATTCACTTCCAAACAGACCCGGTCAGCCAGACAAACGGACCATTTCTGCCATCAGCCTAAAGAAAGGGGCACAACACAACAGGTGCTGAAATCTGCTTTTTCGCATCAGGCAAGTTCAGTGCAGGTAAATCGGGTTGACAGGCATTTCACAATACTGCATTGAAATGGAAGTCTGGGCTTTCGTTGTCATGTTAAGCAGCAAATGTCACTCGTCAACCATGTCGCAGCATATATGTCACCGGGAAGAACAAAGTGGAAAGGGAGAAAAGAAGTTTGTTAAAACTACATGTTAATAATTCATGAAGGCGTTGAGATGTGGGCGATCAAATCACCAGCTGACAAACACGTTTACACTGGGCATCCTTTCAAACCCCCAGCTAATGCACTCTTCCCATCCAAATGTAGCCTGCAACCAATCTCCTCCACCAAGACATCCTTTCACATGTCTTGTTATACAGATTGTTAAGTGTGGAGGTTTTCTCAGCTTGAGTATCCAGGTCCAGACTTTCTTTTCTTTCTCCTCTTTCTCCTCTGCTTCTCCACTGCTTAAATCCACTAACCTTTCATTTCTGTCAGAATCGCCCCTGCAGTGTGAAAGGGGCCAAATTCAGTGAGAGGGAGCTGCAGAGGTGCTCCTGCAGCAGTATGTTTCTAATATAATTTATTAAAATCTAATAAATTATTAGATTTATTACACACTGCGGGGGCGATTGTGTCCGAACTGGTGGCAGCCCCAAAATAACAGTCACATAAAAGGTTTTGTTTTTTCCTGCAGTGACCCCTCACCCCCACTTCATACTCAGGACTATGTAAAAAGCACCGAGCCTCCGACAACGCAATGCAAATTTACATTTATATAGCAGCTTCCATGTCGGGAGAACGTCCCAGAGTCTGTACTCAGGCTGGGGGTGAGCACTGAGAGGTTGGGGGGCGAGGGAGGTGAAGGAGGCGAAGATCTCACTCTTGACCTCAGTCACAGTGTCCACAGGGAACACCTCTTTAACCTGTTGCTCCTATTGACACCTCACTGCTTTGAATATATAGTTGCCGTTGCCGCGCCCAGGACGTTAGCAGACACCACATCCACATTTGTCACGTTGTGACCCGAAATCCTCGCTCGAGCACATTCTGAAGGTCTTCAAAATAATATACATTTACACTAAGTCATTACTGTCAGTTTGTGCACAGCAATAATGTGCATTTCATGCTTTAAAAGGCTTACGTCTGCTCAGTAGAGACATAGAAAAAGATGCAGTGCCATCGCTGTCCCCTTGGGGAATTGTATTTATGTGACTGCTGCTTATTTTCGAATGTAGCTGGAGTGGAGAACACAGTGACGCAATGGGATAATGACCCAGTCTGCAGCTCAACACTGCAGTAATCTTCACGTTCTTCCCCCAGTGTGATGGTTTTGGAATTATTGAGAATTCTGCTTTCAGAACAGGCTCTAATTTATGATGTTTTTCAGACTAGATTTTGCTCAACAAAAAATCTCAATAGAATTCCCATCGACAGGCTGGAACTCTGCTACGGAAATAATAATCTTTGCATTTAATATAGCATCTTAGCACGTCTTCGAGACTTCTCAAAGCGCTTCACAGAATATACTGTAAAGTGAATGGACTATATATTTTGTGGACGAAACACGGCAGGCAATTGTCCCACACACAGTCATGATTGAAGTGACCAATTTATTATTTTTGTAAGGAATTATTACCTCCAGAAAAGTAATCCTCCAATCAACTAACAACTAGCTTCCTACTTACTGCTAGGTAAACAGAGGCGCGTGGAGTAAGGAAACTTGTCCAACGTTTCACCCTGCCAGGAATCGAATCCAGGCTTCTCGCTTGCGAGGCGAGTGCTCTAACCACTGAGCTACAGAAATCAGTCAGAGTGGTGGTAATAATAATAATCCTTGCATTTAATGTAGAACCTTATCACTTTTCAAAACATGTCAAAGCGCTTCACGAGATTTTACTGAAAAGTGGAAATGACTGTGTCAAGATCAACTTGACGTACTTATACTGGAAAGAGTCATAATCAGTGGGATTCGGATTACTTATTAAGAAATCCTGTTAAGAAACACCACAATTTAGACACCTATGTACCATGAAAACCTTTAGAAGTTTTAAAAAAAACAAAGCTAGGCAACCCAGTGTTAAACAGATAAATACACAAGAGTCATTACCCAAATCTCCAGCCGTTTAACCAACACAGGCAAGTCAGGGCTTGAAGTTCTGGTAACCTTTACAGCAAAGCTAAAAATAAATACAAGGGGTCCTTCGCTTCTACATGTACCTGGAGTTCTGCCATTATCCGGTCACCCTCATCCTCATCTTCTTTGATGGCTGAGGCTGCAATGGGAGCGGGAGGCTGTAGTTTTCCCTTCATCTCCAATGGACTTTTTGGTGACTTTGGTGGTTGCACTGGGCTGTTCTCTTCATCAGCCTAAACGGGAACAGAGTACGCTTTTATCCAACACACTTTATAACAACTTCCATTGATATAGTACCCTTCACACAGGGTAACATCTTAGGATAACTTTAGTATATAGTGGATATAAAGTGGATATACAGAAGCCTGGGCTAGACACCGAGCCGACAGTGGGCGGGTGGGGTGATTGTAGGCACGTTCAAAGATGTAGGATTTGAGGAGGGATGTAAAGACAGAAAGAGTGTGGGCACGACAGAGTCATAAGTACATAGGAAATGCTAGACGCAAAAAAGACCCAAGGTCCAGCTAGTTCGCCATCCGCCTTCCTGGCGGTCGCATGCACACGGATGTCCCTTAATAACCTATGTGCTATACCCCTTAATATTATTTCCTTAAAGAAAACTATCTAATCTGTGTTTGAAGAAATCAACATTTCCTGCTTCAACCGTCTCTCTAGGGAGCCTGTTCCAGAGGTTAGGGGTGTAGAAACCAAAGGCTCGGCTACTGATTCAGAAGCGAGAGTGCTACTACTAAGCCAAACTGGCTGACACACTGGATTGACAGGTTGACTGACATCTAAATGCCCAGTGTGAATGAACCCAGTGGATCTCAGTTGTGTTGCCCTCCACGGCCAAACAGTCACATTCACTGAGTAGGTAGGTAGGCATACACTCTTGGAGAGAGTAGCTGGTGACAAGATATATCCCCAAGAGAAGGAAGAAGAAGGAAAGAAAAGGGAGATCATCAACAGCCCCCAAATCCCCTCCCCCTAACAAAATAAATGCTAAAAGTCGACTTATTTGGTTTGCAAATTCTAAATATTAACTCATTCTTACACTGGCTAATTGTACTGTCATAGTGTTCAGAGCCTTGGGACATCCTCCCAACATGAAAGGTGCTTTACAAATGTAATTTGTTGTTGTCGTCGTGATATTCCTTCACTGACTCTGAAATCCCACACGAATGGGAGGTCCTAATCTCAGTGGTGCAGGCGAGGGAAGCCCTAAAGGGAAATACGTGTCCAAAAAAAAGGGAAAATAAACATACAGGGTCTTTTTGAGAGGTGTTTCCCAGTAGCTGGTTTTAGAAGTGGTTATACAGAAACCTGGAACAGGCTAACAATGGAATCTCTGGCTAAAACAATGTAGTAGTACATCATAAGAAATGTTAGTGTGTAGTAATAATAATAATCCTTGCATTTCATAAAGCACCTTATCAGGTCTTTGAGATGTCTCAAAGCGTTTCAAAAAGACCTGAGATTGCTTTTCTATAGATATTGTGGATATTATTGACTATTTTACTTGTTAAACTGTGCGAATGAGCCAATCAGCTGATATCCGGAAGCAAACACCTACTATAATGGTAATGATGTCTTTCTTGGCAGTCACGACCACTTCCCCTGATCTGGCAGTGGTCAGGCCGGAGCCTGGAGGGTAGGACCGGCGTGGAGGTGGCGGAGGAGGTGACTTCATGGGTTTCTCGGTTCCCTTTTCAGGCAGCGGCATCTCCTCTGCAAGGAACAATACAGGATTATGTCATTGCTTCAAACTCAGTCTGGACTGGCACACACAGGTACAACATTAAAGAAAGCAGCATTATGGCTCGGACCCAAATGCTACAATTTAAACTGAACTGCAACTATTTACATTCTAGTGATGGTTCACTCAGCCAACATGTATTTGGAGCTCTTTGATGACCCACTACTGAGCTGCGTTCTGGTTGTGCATTGCTTGGGCTCACAATACAGTCGTCTCAACTAACCCGGGTTTAGTGTATCAGTTGACGCAAACATTTACCGCAGAAAGCAAACGGTTGGCGTTATCTGTGTGAATCATTTCTAATATAGTTAAAAACCTGTGCAAAATGGTTACCAACATAGCGGAGAGAGCATCAGTGGTTATTGTTAGAGCAACACAAGCATCTGTGCTGGTGGCACTTACCAAGGCACATTGGTGCTGGGGTGTAGGGCTGGGACTCGGAATAAACTGCAGCAATAAACATGGGTTATTTTATTATTTTATTATGGGTTGTGACCCTCCCAGCTCGGATCCATAACTCTGTCTGTTCAGCGCCTTGGGATGTCCTCCCGATGTGAAAGATGCTTTACAAATGTAATTTTGTTGTTGTTGTTGTTGTGATAGTTTTAATATTCTTCCAATGTGCTGGGCTGGGTAAGACCTAGCTTTATTACCCAGTGCCTTGGGACATCCTCCCGACGTGAAAGGCGCTATACAATGTAATTTTGTTGTTGGTGTTGTTAACGCCTACAATTCACTGCACTGTGACTTCCTGAATGCGTGGGAAGTATTTCAGAAAGCAGAACAAGAGGACACTAATTTAGGATTGCAAATGACAATTTCAGGACAGATACCAGGAAGCATTTATTTACACGAAAGGTAATTAATGATGTGAATAGATCACTATACCAATTTTTTTTAAAAAAAGCTTGGTGATGTGGGAGAAGGACAGTAGAGCAAGTAATCTGGAAGGAGATCAAATGGGCTGAAGGGCCTTCTTTAACCAAACCAATCGTGTAATCTTGTGAGAGCAGCTTTGAAAGGGAAGATGAGGGACTCACCTTTAGCCTACTCTCAGGCACCCTCCAGTGGTCAGATTAACAGCTACACATGTAGTTATGGGAGCTCTGTCTTAGTCCTCTCCTTGCTCCTCAGGTGTCTTACCACAAATTGTTTCGTTTACAAACACATCAGGAGTTTAGTACTAAGTTTAAAAAAAAGGTCTTTGCTCAACCCCTTCACTTCTCTCTTCACAAGCCATTATTGTTAAGTGCCTGCGACGTCCTCCTGACGTGAAAGGCGATATACAAATGTAAATGTGTAATGTACTTGTGTTGTGTTGATCACAAGCACAGAGGAAACACAGCACACCTAGTTGTTTGATTCCATCTGCCTCATCTGGCTTCTGAATTGTTTTCTGCTCAGGCTCCACTTCCAGACTGGGAATTGCTTTCATCAAATTGGCCTGCGCTTCCTCCAAGAGCCGTTCAAACTCCCTCCCGTCGTACTGATTAATGTTGTGCCTCTTCTCTTCCCACTCTCTCTCCGCGGCCTGCAATTGAACATAAATCAGAGCCTGGAGATTCGTATCAATTTGGTCCAGGTTATGGTCCTCTCAAAATGCGACAAAATGATTTACAGCAAGGTGACGGAAATCAAAAGTGAAACACTACCTCGAAACTCATTTTTCGGTAGATGCTTTTTTTAGCACTCGCAGCGTGAATCTCGTCAATAAAGAGGTTCTGGGCAGACGCAGGCTGCGCTGTGGATGGGGAGCTCAGAGGCTGGTGAGCTTGAGGACTCTGGGTTTGAGCTACTCTTTCTATGGACTCCTGGCATTGCTTTGTAACAGCCGAGGAGGACGGTGCCTGAGGCTGAACCGTAGCCGAGACATTGTGAGCTTGCTTTGGGATTCCGGGAGGACTCTGGGAAGGGTGAACCAACATTGAAGAGTGGTGGGTCGGTTGGATCAGCACAGAGGAGCTCTGGATGTGATGGATGACCATTTGGGGCTCTGACTTCACCAGGGAATTCTGTGTCTCGTGGAATGCGGCAGGAGCAGCCTGAGGCAAAGATGCGTGGTGAGCGGTCACCTGCTCCACAGTTTGGAAAGGAGCCTCTTTGGAGATTTCTGACTCCACACAGGTGGGTGGAGGATCTAATGACTGTGTGGATTCTGTTCCTCTGCCTAGGCCTTCGGTTACCAATCTGCAAACAAACAAACAAACAAGTTGACCTTATAATTAAGGCAAACGGGTTGAGTAAAGGATGAATTTTCTATTCTAATAATCATATTCCTTGCATTTGATATAGCACTTCACAAGAGCTTTTTTTTTCGTACAACAACATCTTGCATTTATATAGTGCCCTCACGCAGGATAGCATCCCAGAGCGCTTGACAGTGGCAGGGCACGGCGCTGAGCCGGAGGGGAGGGGGAGATGACCGTAGTCTTGGTCAAATAAAAAGGTCTTCGGAACGACCTGAAGATGGGGAAGGAAGGGGCAAAGCGGAAGGATTGAGGAAGAGTGTTCCAGATTTTCTGAGCGTAATGGCTGAAAGTGCGGCCACCAATGGTGGAACAGAGGGCATGTTGTAAAGCATACTGACATAGTATTTGTAAGCTCAGGCAATGCACTGCCCCAGAAAGCCATAGATGAGAACAAACGAATAAACAAATTGCATTTATATAGCACCTTCCACAAAAGGAGGATGTTCCCAAGGTTTACACCCGAACTGGGGTTTGGATTTGGGAGGGATGAGAGCCAAGGGAGGGGAAGAGATGAGGACGATGACCGAAGAGGTGGACCATGAAGGAGGTAAGAGAAGGGGCGAGCCCAAGGGACTCCGGGATGGAGTTGCAGAGAATAGGGGCAGATTAGCTGAGAGCCTGACTTCCAATTGTGGGGTGGACAGGGTGGGGGCATGAAGCAGGACGGTGCCTGCTGAACGGAAGGAGCGGGCAGGTAGGTAGGATAAATTGATTGAGGCATTAAAGTAAAAGACAGTTAGATACTTGGAGTGGAAATTATAATAAAAAAAGAATAATCCTTGCATATGATATAGCGCCTTATCATGTCTGCGAGACGTCTCAAAGCGTTTCACAGAATATAATGTGGAGTGAATTGACTGTAATTACCTTGAATTACATGGAGTCCACAGGAACGAAACAGACCATTCAGCCCGACCCCCTCCTAACCATTCTGCCCCTCTGATGAGCCAGGCTGACTGTGCTGTCATCAGCAGTGCCCTGGGGTACTTCAGACCAGCTTGGGTCAGGAACCGGACTAGCAAGACCACCACAGCAGAGGGCTGGCTTGATTCCAACATTCTGTTGTCACCCTAGAGTCAGTCCAGCTGCAAGGACACCCTGCTTACACGCCCCCACCACCCACCACCACCCCACCCCCACACACTCCCCCTGATGCTCAGGAACAGATTTCTGAATAAATCACTGTAAAGCAAATTTCCAGAAAAGTAATAAACAGGACAGAACTCACAGGTTGAAATTATATTGAAATGTGGGAGAGAAGCAGAAGATTAACGTGCACAATATTCATTTACTTTTTGTCTTTAGGATTACGTTATAATAAATGTTTAATAATGATTCAGATTAATTGCTTTCATCCCCTGAAGTCTAAAATTGAGCTTTACGTTTGATTGAAATGTTCTAACTGTGAACTCCACTAGTGGTTCAATTGTTAAATCCATTGCCTAAAGTGAAACTCGGCATAAACACTTAAAACGTCCATTTGGAGAGGGGGATTCATACCAGCAACAATAAACAGCTAAGAGAACACCAATGCCTTTCATTGACTAAATCCTCCAAACAAACAGGTCACTCACTGGTCACTGCATAAAATTGTGGGATTTCTGACAGATTTCTTAATTTAAGAAAATCCAATAAGAAACAAGCACCAAATTTACTCCTGCATTTCACATTCTACATTTATTATTTCAAATGGTAGGGGTGGGGGGCAAGGGGGAATCTATCTAATTTTCAAAGGCAAATTAGATTTATTTGGGAAACAATACCATGGGATACAGTATATTGTTTGGCACTTGACATGTGTATGCGATTGACAAGATGGTGGAAGTCAAACTGGAGGGATGTTGATCTTCTTTTGTCTAGCAATTCCTATGTTCTAATGTTCTTATACACAACACATGGAAAGACACACTGGGGTGAACATTACCTTCTTAAACCAGTCAGCAGATCAGTCATACTCTTGACTCTTTTCAGCAGACTTTCCAGCTTGTGAGGCTCTTCTTTCAAGAACTTCACCGCTTCCACCTCCACCCGCAGCACTGCCCGCATCTTGTTCTGTAGAGGGGGGAACTCAGCTGGAAGACACAGACACGCTCGGGTGAGCATGGATCAGGCATCAGAACGCACTGTGGCTGCGCTCAATCCATGCACGGGTTTGGAGTGCAGCACACAAAACAAGAATCAATTCACAGATACAAGTGGATGCTACCTAGGCCGTGACACTTCAGGAGTAAACTCTTGGTTCTAATTTCTCAGATCTGTGTTATTTATTAAACTATTTCAATCACATTATGTTTCCTTTTCCTTTTCCTGGAATATCTCGATCGCAATCGGACATTAGCAATAGCAGGATGTCCCTGGTCATTTTACAAGTCTGTTTGCCAATTGGAAACATACCCATAGACCAGAAACTCCCTTGGAATGATCAAGGAGGATCTCATTGTTTGATGTGTGGAGTACATAAAGTAAAAGAGCTTTTATTTTTATACCGCTTTATCACATCCCAACGGCAATTTACTGTTAAGTGTGGTAAAGCCATCCGCAGACAAACAGAGCAGCCGTTTGTACTAGGCAACAAACCACAACAGTCACGGTCAATAAATCCGGGAGATTGTTGCCCAGGAAGCCAGGAAAAACTTCTTTCTCTTTTTGAACATGCAACAGATCTTTAGTGTCCACCCAGACAGGATATCAGACAACAACCGCACTGGAGTGGAAGTCTGGGCTATGACTTCAAGCCCCAAAGTGGCCCACATGCGGAGTTTGGGAACAGCGCTAGTATTTACGAGTGTGGCTCCTTCTCCACTTATTCCAACTAATAGGCCAATCCCACATTGCATCAGCGGAGCTGCTGATCATGGTGCTATTCTGTGTGTAAGGTGCTCGGTGGCCAGATTAGGCATGTGGAACCCATGCAATTGCCGTTGTGACTCAGTTACTTTAGTTACTTGTCTCACATGTTCCGGATCAGGCTTCGCTCAACTCCAAAACCCATTGTAATGACACCTCTGTCAACCTAACCTGCTGGGAGGGGGTGGGGGGGTTGGTGTTGGGCTGATGGACACCTCGCGCAGGCCAACCTGTGGCTGCTCTGGGTCCACACCTTGCCCTCCCTCCAGCGGCCTCGCACAGGGATAGTGGTCATGGAATCGAGCTTTGCATAGAGCCCCCCTCAAGGCAAACACTGGCCCTGAAGGTGCTGTAGAAATGCAAGTTGTTGTTGTTCTGATCCTTGGTCCCTATCCAGTGACCGCCCCCCCAAAGCTGGAATATATTAGCGAGTACAGAATCACAGACACCGCTCTCATTATGAAACAGTCATTCTCCTCCTGTACGCCAGCGGATGTGCCGTCAGCTCGAATGAACCCTATGTTTCTCGAAATTCAAAGCCGTGCATTGGGCAGTGCTCGAAACCGAGATGTTTAACGGAAGCGTTTTAACAATAACAATGCAGTGACATTGAGGTGTCTCAAAGCGCTTCGCAGAATACGTTGTAACGTTTATCGACTTTGTGTGTTCTGCGGGCAAAAACACGGCAGCCAATTGCGCGGGGCAGTGTTCCACGAAGAGTAGCGGATTGAGCGATCATTTTTTTTTGGAAGCCTTGCGATAGAACTCCTGTTTGTGAAGAGTATTGGAAGTGCGTTACCTTTGAGTCCCGCTAGCGATTCTCCCACATGGCGCAGGGCAACTGCACCTTCCTCTACATCCTTCAGAGTGACTTTTTGCTGGGCTGATGTGCAGTCCTTTTTCAGCTCTTCTATAGATATCTCCAGCCCACTATAAATCAGAAGAGAACGCAACACATTATAACAGAGCTCATTTTCTACCTGTTTCGGATCAACGCACGCATGCTGCACCTCCAACACTGGATCCTGTTCATTCTTTTATTTATTATTCAGCCACTCAGCTCCTCTGAAGGCCAGTCCTGTCTCATGCAGCAGACGTTAAGCTTCTTGAAGACAAATGTGTGTGTGTGTGTGGGGGGGGGGGGGGGGGGGAAGGTGGGCAACTCATTCCACACGCATTGCTTTGAGCTACATTGATACTATTCCCCTATCACCCTCCCCACCCCCCACCACCCCCACCCGGACAACCCAGTCTGTAAAGAAGGAACTGAGCTACAAGACCAGGAACACACAGGTTCAATCCCTGATCTAGGCTAGGTTAGCCGATCTTATCCAGGACAGTAATGTGAACACTACAACTGACCTCCTTGCCCTTGGAAAAGGCAGGGGGAAAATCAGCCAGTGTTTTAGCTAGTGTAGGTCTGCTGCGTGTTCTCCCGCCCCTCCACACCATCGCTGGCTGTGGCTTCAGCCACTATGCCTCTAATCTGCTGAACTCTTTGCCTCAATTGCTCATCCTAACATACCCTTTATCTGTCTTTGAATCCCATTTTAAGAGCATCACCGCATCTGTCATCCCAGTACCCTCTCCCTTGGCACTGTGCAGCACTCTGAGATGCTATCCTGCGTGAACGGTGCTATATAAGTGTAAGTTGTTGTTGGTGTTCTGATCCCTGGTCTCTATCCAGTGAACGTCCCCCCCTCCGCCCCCCCCCCCACCCCAAAAAAAGGCTGGAAAATGTTAGTGAGAACCAAATCAGTCAACACTCGCTCTCTGGGAAAAGGGATACGGAAATAACCAACAACAAAGTTAAGGTCACATTTTATCATTTTAGTAATAGATGTTTAGAGTTTCGGCAATGTCATCTACCAATTATACGCTCTAACTCTATAACATATTGAAATCTTTGACGGGGAAAAAAAGCATTCCCACACCTTCATTTAGCTACATATAAACAAGTTATTTCCAATTGGATAGTTATCATTGCATTCAGCTTATTTTTCCTACAACTAACACAAGAGGGCAGTACTCACTCAAAGTATAACAAATCTGAACTTCCAGTGTCAACCCAAATTTACTGTGAATATTTTGAAGGACAAAGCAATGGGTCAGACAGACAGAGTTGTTGTTTCCAAGTCAGGTTTAGTCAGTCTGACAACCTGCAACACTCCAATTAGATTGATACGGTAACATCATTTCTGGCAAGACCTGAAGGAAGTTTTGAATTCCCAAGAAACTATGCATCCCACGTTGGCCAGTCTTATTTTGTGATTTCTTATTTCTTATTTCTTATTTTGTGGTCTCATAGCTCAATTATCACAAAGATCTTACAAGACTTTAAGGACTAATACGAGTGAACTCTATTCACATAATTTAGTAGCTCAGCAGTCTTCTCAAGCTCAGTATTGTATTAGTTTCCTATTATTCATGTTCTTTCTTACTTTATATTTGCTGCCATAAATGCAGCTTCTGTTGTGAAGTTTGTTCCCCCTCTGTGCGCTCCATTGACTTTCAGTCAATTTTAACAAAGAACCATGCTGTGGATTTTTTGTTACAATTAAACAGCAATCATTGATTTCTCTTCAAACTGCCTCCCTCCAACTGATACACACACACACACATATATACATATGCTTGTAACACGGTTGTTCCTTAAATAAATCTGCCTCTGGCTTTCATGTCAGTCTTGAGCTTAATTAAAGTTTTCCTCAGTTAAGAACAGCTTCCAGCAGAATTACAATTTGTCTCATTTAGTATGACTGTGTTCATTCAGAAATATTCTGAGGAATTTTTGTGCAAGAGTACTTTGTCTCTCGTTGCTCTGAATTCACATTTCTTTTCTACTTCCATTTTATCACTGAAGGCATTCTGCAATTTTTTGACAGGTAACATTTTACTCAGCGCTGACTACTTAAAACAATATATCTCACATCTTGAAAGGAACTAAGTTCATTCAACAGTAAGCTTGGTGCTTTCAGTAGGAAAATGAAGGAATGAATTGACGGAATGATTTTCATTACATTATTTCATACTCATATGACTGCCAAAAGCATTGCTCGCATCACAACAGTTTCATTTGCCATAAGGTGCCCACATATGATTATAGTCACAAAGAGAGGCTTACGGGAGATTGCGTCATCAAAACATTTGCCATCAACATTTTAACAGCCAGTGCATGGGATGAATGTTATACGAATGCAAAAGATCAGAGAATGCAAACAGAAAAATTCTGAAAACCAAGTCAACAACAACAACACCACCACCAACAAAATTACATTTGTAAAGAGCCTTTCAGGTAGGGAGGATGTCCCAACGTGCTGTTAATGATCAAAACTGGTCAATAAAGAATGTTTGCTCGTATTGACAAATCAGGGAAATTGAACCAAATTCTCACAATTGCAGTTGCTCATCGGCCTCAGGCATGAGACATGTGTGAGACAAAGGTGTCCGGTAAGATACATATAGGAATAATAAAATAATTATTCTTGCATTTGATACAGCATCTTATCACCTTGTCGATACGTCTCAAAGCGCTTCACGGGATTTACTCTAAAATACAGTGATTGTGCATAATGTGGGCCAGAGGTTCTCAAACTACGGGTCGCACCTCCCTGGGGAGGTTCAGGTGTGTCGGGGGAGGTGCCACGGGCCACCAAAGCCACTGCCCCAATCACCAAACTCCGCAACAAAGCTTCACGCGACAACATTCCTCACCACAGCAATCCCGCGGCAATCAGAGTGCCAGGAGGGAGGGGAGGGTGGGACTGTTGAACGGATTGACCCTGAGGTCCAGCGAGGAAACAACTTGACTCTTTCTACTGACAAGCTGGGACTGATGGGATCTATAACGCCATCTATAACTGTTTGGTGCTATGATTTTCTAAAACGTTAGGGCGGTTTTATTTTAGCTGCTGTGATTTGTACTTCTTTTTCGAACAGAAGCCATGAGATGTGCTTTATGAAATAAAGTGAGTAATTTTGACACCGATACTCTTATTATAAATAGACTGATCAAAGCCCTTTCACTTTATTGCTCGTAATCTTGCAAAATCTAGGATTTTCAGTTCTTTGGTCTTGCCGTAGTAAACTACGGGGAGGTGCAATTGTTTTCTTCTTAGTTTAGGGAGGCTCACTATGTCAAAGTTTGAGAACCCCTGTTGTAGGCAAACGCAGCAACTAATTTGCGCACAGCAATGTCCTCAAAATTGGCATGAAGTGAATGCCCACTGATAGTTTAAAATGCAGTGTTCACAAATTTGTTGTGATTATTGAAACCTGCCAATAACACGATGGGCACCATGCAGGGATTTGTGACCTCTGATCTCCTTCTGGACACGTTAGGGCAGAGTTTCCTCAGATCGGTGTGATGCACATTGAGTTACCGACGGGATTCAATATTCTGGAATCCTCTGCAATTCCTGTTGCTTTTTGGACCTCACTCTCTGCTTGTAAAAAGAGCATAATGTTCAAAAACTGATGCTGTTTGCTTTCAGTTTGTATAGGTAATGTGATGCTTTTTGTACTCTCACATTGTTGTTGTTGCTTTAAAGTCATCACAGTCTCGGAAATTCAAGCAACACCAAGCTTTTCAAGCCATGAACTGTACAGTCTGGTAACATACGTACAAACAGACTATATAAACATAGTCACTAAGACATTGGGCATCTTGTAATACATCATTATGTCTCCAGCAGTTCTGTATCTGGAATACTCAGCAGTAGCTTAATTGTGTAGCTATATTTACAGTCTGTACAGTGTGTTGGGAAATCTTTGTGAATGAATCAGTCAGGCAGATTTCGATTAAAAAACACAATACATCAATGAGCTCTGGCTGCATCAGCCCCAAATTACCGAGGTAACATATAAAGTGTCAAGTATTAAGACATTTGAAAAAAGATTGGGCCATGTTTCTTAATGGAATAACCATTTGCTGCCGTGTTAAAAATATTCGAGCAAATTTCACAGTTTTTAAAAGTCATTCCACTGGAGCTTATTGATCAGATTTACAATTGTTGGAACAGGCACCAGTGAGAGTTTGTAGCTACACATACATGGATTATTTGTTGAGTTATCAGACTCTGCCACTATCAAGCGCTCCATGATGCTACCCCGTGTGAAGAGTGCTGTATAAATGCAAGTTGTTGTTGTTGTTATTTACGTGTGTAGCTGAGTCTGGGTGAAAACATGCTTCATCTTATGCTCGTCACCCACCTCATCACCTTGACTCTGTTGTTTAATTCGTCAAACAAGTTTTGTTGAAGCAAAAAGCATCAATGTATTTAAGAGGAAACATGATACAACAACAACAACAACTTGGATTTATATAGCACCCTCCACGCCGGACGGCGTCTCAGAGCGCTTCACAGTAACGGATCCCGGGGCCGAGCCAGGGGGAGGGGGAGGAAAGTGACCAAAGGCGCGGTCGAAAACAAAGGTCTTCAGCAGAGACCTGAAAATAGGAAGAGAGGGAGCGAGGCGAAGGGAGTGAGGAAGGCAGTTCCAGAGCCTTGGGGCAAAGTGGCTGAAAGCACGGCCGCTGAGGGTGGAGTGAAGGACTTGGGGGACAAGGAGAAGGCCAGACCAGGAGGAACGAAGGCAACAGGTACTGTTTTGAGGAGAGAGGTCAGAGAGGTAGGGGGGTGCAGAGGAGTGGAGGGATTTGAAGACAAGGGTGAGGATGTTGAAGTCGATCCTCTCTGGGACAGGCAGCCAGTGCAGTCTGGCAGGGACTGGGGTGATCGGGGAGCGGGTGAGAATGCGGGCGGCAGAGTTTTGAATAATCTGGATATTATGGATGGTAGTGGAGGGGAGACCGGTGAGGAGGGAGTTAGAATAGTCCAGCCAAGGGGTGACAAAAGCACAGACCAGGGTTTCAGTGGCTTTTAGGGAGAGGTATTGGCAGAGACTGGCGATGCATCGGAGGTGGAAAA